CAAAACATTTGTCATACATATCAGGTAGCAATGGCTGATTAAAGATAAATTTGGCATCATGCACCAAGAATGACCACAGTAACACTTTGAAAAATTATGATCATATGCACATTTGAAAAGATTAATTTTCCACTTCACCTAATCAACTGAATTAGAAAAGGCAAAATAACAAGTATTTTATTAATGCAATGCAGAAATTAGGTTTTTGATATATTAATAATTTGCTTGAGTATTGTATACATAAAAATCAAGGGAAACAGGAGTATTTTAAGCTCATACTGGACTATTGAACTTTAGAATATTACCCTAAGGAAATAGGTCTGGGCAGAATTTATTTGAGAAAGATTTCAAAACTATTTAAAAGCAATACTACAATTAGTTACTTACAAAAACATTTATAAAAATTAAATATCAGAAAGTGAGAACATCAGTATTAGAACTCTGTTGTATTATTCAATGTTATAATTTATAAATACATATTAGATTATAGTAATTTAAAACACAGAACCACATATTTTCTACCTTCTAAAATAAGAAAAATCCTTCAAGTTGTTTTTAAAATATGAACAAAAAACAAATCCATTGGATTGCTTTAAAAAAATAAATACAGTCTCTCCCCTACAACTTGGTATACTAAATAGGGAAGATGCTTGCCAGCATTGTTGAGAAATACAGTTCCAAATGAGTAGGCTAATAACATTTATGTCAATATCAACTCTAAATGGTGTTGTACAGTCAGTTTAAATAAATTATGATTTTACCCTACATATGTCTGCCATAGTGAACCATTCTTTCTATTCTTCTGAACTAAGTACAGTAAAATTCTTTCACAAAATGATTTGAGATCAAGAAAACTACAGAAGGAAACATTTTCAGTGAAAAAAAGTTAATTTTTCCCAAGGAGTAGGTAAAAAACAAATGTCTTTTAGGATATCGATGAGAAGAGTAACATGCCAATATTCCTGCTTTATTAACAGATTTTAAAAATTACAATGAGTTCTCAATTGACCTAATGGACAAATGTTTTGAAAACAGAAATAAAATTTTAGTTAAATCAATCTGGGTATGGAAGGAATCAGAGGTGAAGACATGTTCCTGCTGCAGTGGGAAGGAAGAGAGAGCAGGACTACAGCCTGCCCTGCTGGGGGAAATAGCTCCTAGGCCCTGGCCTCCAGGAGTTGCGAAAGGGGAAAACATTGCCTGGTCTTCTGAGTCTCTGGGCAAAAAGTCACTGAGTTGGAAAGAAGTACCTCATATAGATGGGAATTCATATTTTAGAAGGCCTTCTGTAACTTTCTTATATTGTTTCAACTTTCCTAAGAAAAGTTTTGATGATGTATATCATTTATTAATTCCTCTTCATAAAAAGATGTCTCAAGAATCTAAATAAATCTTAAATTTTTTTGAAATCTATTTTATGTAAAAATATTACACTGAAAATAATTTCGTTTAGGTCACTAAGGAGGGCATTTCTTTTAGTGACCTAAAAGAAATTTTTCTGAGTATACCACTCATCAAAAATGACTATGTACACAAAACAGAAGGAAAATCTTTCAGCACATTACAAGTCATGCTATAAACATAGGCCTTAGAAAGGAAAAAGGTATAAAGGAATGAGAGAGGACATAAGGAAAGATGACAAAACCCTAAAACTGCTAAACATTCAGAATTTAACACAAATCCATTACATTTGGAGATTCAAGTATGCTAAGATTTTTCAGGGACATATTTTGTCACTTAGTGCAAAAACATTTGTAATTTTTAGGCATGGTCCACTCAAATCATAAGTACAAAACTCACCTTACTAAACAGTGTGAATTGCAATATGGAGAGTTTATTTTTTCTCTAATATGGTAATCAGTACATCATCAAGAATGTTCCCTAAACCTATTAATGCTATAAAAATGAGGTTACTGAACATAAACTAATTTTTTCCAACTATCAAGAACGTTCCCTAAGCCTATTAATGCTATAAAAATGAGGTTACTGAACATAAACTAAATTTCTCCATTAATATGCTAAAATATACTTTTAAAAAAACACACACATTGATTTTCCTATGCTAATTTACTTTGGGCATACATCCAGCTTAAATTTCAGAACTGATCACCTAATCAAATAGTAATCCAAAAAAAATCAACTAGCAGAATTTTTTTTGAATGTCTGGATTGTCAAATTTTCTGATCTATTCTTTATAAAGGGAAAACTCTTGAATCTTTTGATTTAGTTCTTACCATTTTTGTAAAATGAGGGCCTCTTATGCAATGAGATTATTCAAAAGCCCTTGTATTCATTTGGTAAGAGAGCAAATTTTAATAATTAAACTTATACTTTCTTTTGTTTTTTTACAAAATTCTCTATTGATAACAAGTTATTTATGTTGTAAATGAAGTTAATTAGTAATTTAAAGATGATTCATGAAATTAATAGATTATTATTATTTTCTGCAATAGTTATTCTGAATTACTGGCTTACTGAAATTCTTACCTAACAACTATTTACAAAATAATTTGAAAATTTTTAAACAGATATTTATTATCGAGTAATAAAGTCATCAAAAATTACTGAAAATAAGAAATGTACTTTGCGGCTGGGTGCGGTTGCTCACACCTTAATCCCAGTACTTTGGGAAACCAAGGCGGACGGATTGCCTGAGGTCAAGAGATTTAGACCGTCCTAGCCAACATGGTGAAACCCCATTTCTACTAAAAATACAAAAATTAGCTGGGCATGGTGGTGTGCGTCAGTAGTCCCAACTACTTGGGAGGCTGAGGCAGGAGAATTACTTGAAACCAACAGGCAGAGATTGCAATGAGCCGAGATTGCACCACTGCACTCTAGCCTGGTGACAGAGGGAGACTCCATCTCAAAAAAAAAAAAAAAAAAAAGAAAAGAAAGAAAGAAATTTACTTTGCATGTAAAGTACATGAATTTAGTAGTACTATTTTACAGAGATGTCACTAAATTTTAATAAGCTTCTCAAAACAGAAAACTTGTACCCACTACAGTTTTTTACACAAGGTGGCTTAACAAATATTAACTTGGCTCCCCAGCAATAAACTCAGTCTTCAGGGGTCAAGTCATTGCCTTCTGAATTCAAATTTATCCAACAAAATAACACCTTCATATGATCATATATAACATTCTGTAAGATAAATTCTGCTTAAAAAGTTGAATAATCTGAATCACTGAAACAACAAAATGTTATTTTAAATATAATGTGAAAGTCATAGAGGAATCTATACTGTTTGTGAAGTATATGCATATATATACTTCAATTATTATAAACATAAAAAATTTAATACTAAAGGAAAGTGGTAACATTACCTTATACATTCCTACCAATTTATCTTAGGGCATTATAAAAGTTATAAAAGTAATTGGTTAATTTCTTTGCCTTTTCTGCTTCTATTTCAATAACAGCATCTGAATTTCATGACAAACCTGATGAGAAACCACATTATACTTAAGAAATGATTCCAAAGTAAACCCAAAGACTAAATAAAACAAAACTACTTTCACAGGACTTTTGATGAATTGGTCCAAAAAGCATTTTGGCTTTAGGGACTTGTAAGCTTTTCTGTAATAACAAGAAACTAGACCCCTTTCTGAGATGATCATTTCCCCCATCTAATATTTTCAAGTATCACTAGGAAAAACAGCACAATTCTAAACTGCAGTACATAAACACCAACTCGACTTCCTTGTGATAGCTTTGTAAGGTAGCAGGTAAATAGCAAGTATCATCTTCATTCTGCAAATGAAGGTGCAGAATGAAGCTCTTGAAGCACTGAAAAGCTACATGATTTGCCCAAGGTATTCAATGAGTCAATCATGAAATTACAAACCCAGCATCAAATTATCTCTGCTCCTGGCATATTGCTCTCTGACCACACTTCACATTAAAAGACTGTATGTATGTGTCCTCACGTGTACTCTATATGGCCTTCAATTGAGAGTAAGTCTATCCACTGATAATTATTTTTAAAGGGATCTAATCTCAAAGATCACAAAAACTCAAAGATCAAAGTTTTCAGATAATGAGAATTATGCCGTATTCCTTTCAATATCTATATGGAGCTATGCTTTTTTAAAAAACTTACATGATAATATATATTAAAGAGAAAAATAAAAAGTTTCTATTTATGTCTTGGAGAAAGATTAACTTCAAGTTAGGGGAACCATACAATTCATTTCCAAACTGGGATACTTGAGGGTGAAACTGAGCACTAGTAATAAACAGGATACTAGGTGTTACACTGAGATTGTATTAGGCAAGCTGACGTATGGTCACCTAATGTAGCATGGATTCAGTAAGAGTTGCAAATATTCTAGGAACATAAGAAACCCTCTGCAAGCATGCTATAATCAAACATGTTCACTTTGCAATAAAACATTAGTGCTTTAAAATATAATACATAAATTTAGCTTAAACACAAAGGTTAAAAAACAATCTATTTAATAAGGATGTTTAACCAACAAGTTATTATACATTTCCCTTCTAATATAGTTTTGTTTTATATAAACCACAAATTAAGTATCAGTAATAACAGTAAATGGATTCACTTTTTACCTTTGACTAGCCAAATTTTTTCTCAAAAAGTATAAACAGGTACCTTTAAATATTAAAGAATTTTGTTGGACTCTTTGACTGCTAAAAAAGAAAAACTATTTTCCACTAATGCCTAGAATTTATCCTTGAATGGCAAGATTTAAATCAATATGTTAAATGATAAATGTGAACATAGCTTTCTGAAATGAAAACTTTTTATAAAGCAATACCAGAAGCATAAAAAAACCCAGTTACTACAAAGATTGAAGGAATATTATATCACCTGATTACAGTATACATGCTAAATACACACTTATCAGTTGAAGTATAATCTTAATCTTATACATGCAAAAATCCCCCACTACTTTGCAAACAGATTTGAAAAAGTACTTTTTACATTCAGTTATGTCTAGTAAGTAAGCCTTGTTTTTAAGATACGAGTTTTACAAATACAGTTATTATTTAAGGTCTCCACTCACTTACATTTCTTTGGGAAATACAAGTTGAATATAGTTTTTAGAAATAACAAAAAGGTAACAATAAAACTGTATAATATTATTTAGTATGACTTATGGCTTCCTTGAATCTTTAACTCTCCCGAAAAAAAAAATTAAACTGAAACAAACTGAACTGTATGTTCTTAACATATGTTGAGCTTTTAAACAATTCTTCCACTGTAACTGTACTTCTAAGGCAGATGCTTAGGAAATGATATGTAATAAATCTTGTTGGAAAAGATGATACTGTATTCAATGAACATTAAACTATTATTTCTAAGATATAATTAATTCTCAGAGCTTTTTTTTGTTATCTTGACACTTTTTACTGAGCGTATAGAGGAAATTCTAGGGTACACAGATGTTCAACAAGACCGATCTGATGTGTTGACCTTGGTTAGTGGTCCCACAAACTTTTTCAGACTTTAAACATCATTAAATATGTCACTGCGAGACATTGAGAGATATCGTCCACCAGGCTGATACCTAAAAGGTGAACATAAAGAAATAATCTGAAGGGTCAAAAATAATAAAGGAAGAGACAAAACCAAGAATACATTAAAAGGAAGTGGCCACATAATTTGTAAGCACTGTAAAATCTAGTCAGTAGCTGAAAGTAGAAACTTACCCTCCAATTACATTTTCCAAAAGGACTTAATTATAAATCAACCACCAACTGTTTTAGAGCCTAGAATATATGCATGACAGAGTGAGAGATGTAAAAAGAAGGGGTGGGGATGTAAGACACATCTGGGAGATTAATCAATTTAATAACCACTCTCAGTTGTTGCATATAAATATAACCTAGGTTTTTACTGCATATAGGCAATACTATAGTAAACATTTTCATGCACATGATATTTTGCTTTTATTTAATTATATCCTCATAGCACAATGGCTGAAAGTACAGACTCTGTAGCCAGAGTACTGGGGTTTGAATGCCTGACTTGCCATTTACAAGTTGTGTGACTCTAGGCAGTTTACTGAGCCTCTCTGGATTTAAATTCAATTGAATTTGCAACCATGCAATTACAATATTTTTGTTAAAGAGCTTAGAATAGTTCTGGCATCTAGACACTGCGATGCAGCAGTTAATAAATATAATAAAATTTCACAAATGGCACAGTCAGAAATAGGCATATAAATATTGTCCCCATCCTTTGCTATATATTTCAATTATTTATACTTTTTTATTTATAATAACACTAGTATTGTGTGGAGATAACGATTTCATTTACCACTACTGGATAATAATTTTTAAAATATAAAAGCATTAAAAAGTCTAAAAAGGTATCAAAGATTACTTAATATTTTTTATTATTAGAGAAAATGAACATTTTTCTTTACTTATAACTTGTTTACTTTTACCTTTACTCACTTGTTTTCAACCTTGTCAATAAGTTATCAAAATTGCAGAGGAATGCTAGAGCTAAAATGTCACAGCCAGAACTTACCTTCCTGATTCAGATTCAAGAGGATCATCAGTGAATGTTTCTGCATTAAAATCCAAAGGTTCTGCATCTTGGAGAAGTTCTATCCGGTCCCTTTCAGTCCTGTTATTAGCCCTGGTATATTTGAACGCAGCTGCAAAGGAAGGAGGAAAAATGTCTACTTCCCTACTGTCTTTTAATTTATGCGTCATAGTCTATGGAGCTACAGAGAGAAAAATCAAAATTCCAAGGAATCTGAATTTTCATTGTGAAGACAAAGAACATAAGATAACTACATGTTTACTTAAAATCAGATTAAAATTATAAGCAGTATGATAGAATATAGCAAGGAAAAGCAGATACAGTGCAAATATTTTAATAATATAACTCAGAATTAACATTTAACTATGGTATCACAATGGAGAAACTGTTCATTAACAACAGTAGTTTGAGTTGGTTTTATAGTTAACTTCATTTCTTGGCTAGGACTTTAAGGTGTAATCAGCTCAAACTCTTAAAAAAAGGTGTCAGCCTTTTTACCATAAGGCAAGAATATGGGTAGCACTAGCCAAGAGAAATAGAATGCATTAATTAGAAATTTTCTAGTAGCTATGTTAAAAAGTAAAAAGAAACAAATGAAATTAATTTTAATATATTTAACACAATATATCAAAAATATTATCATTTCAATATGTTGCAACTGCTCAATAGTTACACGTGGCTAATGATTATCATACCAGACAGCAGATATAGAAAACTAACTCTCCTTTCTCTACGTGGATGTCAATTTCTTTATAAACAAACCAAATTTTCACAATGTTGTCCAGAAGAGTCCAAGTAGCTTTACAATAGCTTTATGATACAGTTCTTTCTGAAAACTTAAGGCAAGCCAATTCTATCACATTTTTATATTTCTGTAAGCTTGGACTTTGTCCTAAATGCAAGTCTCTTCATCTTTTCTCTCACTCATTCGGCAAATTGCAATTGCCCAATACATGCAAGATTCTCTCTAATTTATCATCCTATAGCTTTGTGACTCCTCTTCTCCTAAGCATTGCCAGAGCTTTCCATTCTGTAAACTTCCTTCCACTCTATGGTAAGCAAGTGTCCAAATCCCTTTACCGAATCCTCACTATTTCCCAGGTTTAACTAAAGCTTTAGCTCCTTCCTATTTATTCTACCCTGAAGTCCTTCAAATAAATCCTTTTCTTGTCATCTCCAGGACCACTGCCTTATTTTAGACCCTAATCATTTCTTGACTGCATCACCAAAACAGTCTCTTAAATGGTTTCTACATCTCACTTCCCTAAAAATTATGCTTTATACTGCCATCAAATTCATCTTTCGAAACCAAAAATCTTACCATACTTCTTCCCAGATTGAAATCTTACCATTAGGTCAAAATCCAAACTTTTTTTTGAGATGGAGTCTTGCTCTGTCACCCAGTCTGGAGTGCAGCGACGCAATCTTGGCTCACTGCAACCTCTGCCTCCTGGGTTAAAGAGATTCTCCTGTCTCAGCCTCCTGAGTAGCTGGGATTACAGGTGCCTGCTACCATGCCTGGCTACTTTTAGTATTTTTACTAGAGATGGGGTTTCACCATATTGCCCAGGCTATTCTCAAACTCCTGACCTCAGGTGATCCGCCCACCTCAGCCTCACAGGTGTGAGCCACCACGCCTGGCCCCAAATCCAAACTTTAGAGCATGACAATATCTGTTCCCCAAGCAGCTCTGGGGTCTCCTCTCTTGTTACCCTTCCTATGCTTAGGCTTTAGTTGCAGAGAAAAACATACATTTTCCCAAAGGTTCTCTTATGACACAGCGTCCTGTACTTAGTCTCCCTTCTAATTAAAATACCCTTCAACTGGCTAAGTACTATTCATTTCTAAATACCCAGCTAAGCATATCCTTATTACAGAAATATTTCTTCATTATAAAAACTTTTTCCTAAGATAAGCCCTCTTTTTCCATTCACCAAGCTGAATTCCTTCTGCATCAGGTGTGCATCTTTCCATCAGAGCTGTCAATGAGAAGTCTACAATATCATACATAGTCTGTAATTAAAATATTTTTAACATTTCCATTTAGCTCTTTTGTATAGTTTCCATCTCTCTGGTGAAATTCCCATCTGTTCATGCACATTGTCCAAGTTTTCTATCAGATTATTTAACATACTAATTGGTTATTTTAAAGTCACTGCACTGTCTGATAATTTTAACATTTGAGCCACCTCTAGGTCTGGTATGCTCAGTATTTTATATTTTGAAAATGGCTCATATTATCTTACTTTCTTGTATTTCTCATAATTTTGGGTTAAAAGCCATACATTATGTGTAAAGAAAGAAAAAAATGTAGAGAAATCAAAGTTTTATGCCCAAATTGGGCACACCTCTTCTATTAGATCATCACTGTTGAGAGCTGATATAGTTGATCCAAGTTTGGACTTGGTTATTGCTTTAGTTTCTTTAAGTCCCCACAGACTTCACATTTCTCTAGTGATGAAATGCTATGACCTTGTACTTAGTAGGGCCTCAAGTGCCAGATGGTTTCTCTCAGTATTCTTTTTCCACTCTTAGATTTCAGTAGTCCTTCCATGGATATTCCACAGAGGGAGTCTTCTCCATGTTTCTATTCCTCATCCATTGGTACTCAGTGCGAAACTCATAGCTGAGTGGGAGAGGGTGCTCAGTTTTTCCTCCCCCATCCTCAGTCTTAAATCCTGTGCACTAAAGCCTCACTGGTGGGGCTCTTTCAGCAATCTTACATCTCTCCCCAAAATAACCTCCTCCTTCTACTCAGCTCAAGGTCCTAGGCAAAAACTGGTTTCTTGGTACCTCCTAAATAGCTTCTGCCTCATGTCAGTGTGGGATCAGTGATTCAGGAAGGCTTCCTAACCCACCTGATGGCAGATGACTTCTGTCTGTTATCAGTCCCTCACTCAGTTATAACATCCTGAGGACAAGAAATATATCTTCTTTGTATTGCTGTATACCTGGGAATATACCTAACTTATATGGGTCAGTCAATAAATTATTATAAAAATGATCGAATAACCTACACGTACTAATAGGAAAGAAAAACATCAAGGTAAATGGTAGAAATAAATACCTGCCTAGAAAATACCTGGGATGAGTGCTTACATTATGTAGAGTTAGTATACTTAGAACTATTCAATTGATGCCACAGTTTCTCCTTTCCCCACCAGAGTATATATTTGAACTACCCTTCCTTCTATATATTGAGAAATGTTAAAAAAAAAAAAAAAAAAAAGTCACTGCAAACACACATTTATAATTCTACAAAGGCATTACTGGATGAGTATTCTAACACTCAATCTCTATGCAAGCAAGCATAAGAAAACACTTTCCAAGTGAACTAGAAGATAAACTACTTACACCGGTTGGTATTAACATCTGAAAAGTTTGACTCTTTTTGGTCAGTATGAATATTTCTGTTCCTAGTAGAATCTTCTCTAGTGTGTCCATAACGTTCTTTCCATTCCTAGAAAAGAAACACAAGTAAATATATAATAAGAGAACAGAAAATAATTCATTAATGTCAAGAGATGATGTATGCAATATAACTTAATTATTTTCATCAGAAATTCATTAGCAATCAATATAATTATCCTAGCATCTTTAAAAGTCATAGGTCAATGTTTTCATTTTTCCATGATTTATTGAAGTCACAGTCTCTATAAACTTTTACAAATGACATAGAGACATTCTGCTAACTTTGATTGTTACTCATCTATCTAAAATGTAAAACAATATTACTATGACAAGTTTGCCTTGACCATACAAAAGTTATGAGAACCCATAATGACTAATAGATGTTAACAAAATTTTCTTTCACTCAAATAAACTACAAATATTAAAGAGCTAAAACATCAACAGAAAAGTTGTATACATAGTCTATGACTCACATGGCATTATGAGTTATCCTAAATGCAGTAAAACCATATTAACTAGATTCTACTCATTAAATTCTTAGAATTGAAAGGGACATCAGAAATCACATAAGGCAACTTTCCATGCAGTGCGGGGTCCCATTCTAAAACCTCCTTGCCAGATGCATTTTGGCTCTCTGACTAGACAGCATGTAATTTTCTATGTCTGAGAAGCCTATTGCAATTCTGGTAAATTGCATAAATTAGAACTTCTCATAGATAGGAGAAATCTATCTCTAGTAACTTCTACTCTTTGGTTCTAGTTCTGCCTTCTAAAATAAAGAAGATACACATATTTGAAGATACACAAAGACAACTATAAAGTTTCCTGTTAGTCTTTGCCAGTATATATACCCATTTGTTAAAAATGTGTGGTAATTATAATTAGATTTTACTCATTTTTTGCCTTTTCACTTTCTAGGTTAGTTTATCTCAGAAAATGGAGGCTTAAAGAAAAATTAAGGAGGAATAAAATTAATGTCACATCATCAAAAAAGAGAAACAATTTTAAAGCAATCAAAGTCACTTTAACAGCAAGAATATATGTATTTATTTATTTATTCATTCAACAAATATTCATTGAGCAGCTACTTCAGGCAAGAAGCGCTCCATACTAAATAGGAAGTAATTTATTACTAATGACTTTTAGAACAGGTCTGTAGGATACTTAGTGTGTACACCTGAAAGTATTAAAATTCCCTTTCTTTAAAAATATATATTTTAACATTTTCCCACTTTTTTCTATCTTTAGCTAATTATTCCAAATTAATAATATTCTTAAGAAATTTTATTTCAAATTAATCTTCAGATTACAGAAAATTAATACTGTACTTACTCTTCTTCGATTCTCACCTTCTTCTTGCCTTTGTTTTTTTCTCTTCTCTAAACACAGAAAAATAGTGTCAAATATGGCATAACACGGTTTAATCAGACATAGTGTAACTGAACTAAAGATATCAAATTATGTGATATTTATTTTAAATTACCACAAAATCAGATGTTATAGATTATTGCTGGAAAGAATTTTGAGAAGTTACCTCACTCAATAAACAGTGAATGCCTTCTCTATTTTTGTTGGAGATGGCCCTGTAGTCTCTGTTTAAATAACTTTAGGGAAGAAAGAGTTCTTTTTCACAATGAAATTTGTTTCTTTGTAAATCATATTCTCTTTTATTCCTGTCTTCTAAGTTAAGTTCATACTTCTTTTCTTTCTGTATGAGTCTTTTTCTATGTTACTCTCTTTAGGTTACAGACATGGTGTTTTTCACTTTTTTCCCATAGGATACACTCTACAGACTCAAAATTCTAGCTGTCCTTCTCTAAATACTTTCTAATTTATCAGTCTTATTCTTTAAAATCTTACCTAGGACTGGATGTGCTATGTCATATGAGGTCTAACAGGAGAACATGTGAAGGCTACACTAGATTATTTTGGAGCTGTAATACATTTTGGCTTACATTCAACTCATAATTACACAAAAGCCCCAGACTCAAGTAGGGAGAATGTCTAAGAACCAAAGTCCCAAAAGTCAAGACTTTTTTCCCTCCATGGTACTATCACTTTCAACATCAACAAATTTAATACACTTAGTTTTGTGATGTGATTCTACTAGCGTGCCATGTATTCTAACAGGCTGTTAATGATCATCACATTCTAAAAAAGTAGCTTTTGCCTGAATGATCTTCTATGCAGTATCAAACTGATCATTCTTTAAATTAATGAGCTTTATAGTTGTACAGAACTTGGCAAATATGTTTCAAGGTAAACATGAAAATGATTCCAAGACCATACAAGGGTGTTATCGAGCTGAAAACATACTAATATTTAAGCTTCAGAATTTCTTTTTTTTTTTGAGATGGAGTTGCTTTTATCTCCCAGGCTGGAGTGCAATGGCACGATCCCGGCTCACCTCAACCTCCACCTCTGGGTTCAAGCGATTCTCCTGCCTCAGCCTCCCGAGTAGCTGGGATTACAGGCATGTACCACCACACCCGGCTAATTTTGTATTTTTAGTAGAGACAGGGTGTCTCCATGTTGGTCAGGCTAGTCTCAAACTCTGACCTCAGGTGGTCCACCTACCTCAGCCTCCCAAAGTGCTGGGATTACAGGTGTGAGCCACCACGCCCAGCCTTAAGTTTCAGAATTTCTTAAAGACAGATAAAATAATTATTTATGTTTACAAATTATTTTTGCTAGGAAGGCTATATGTACATTTTTAGCTAAAAATTTGCATTAGTTTATAATTTTTTAGGATAGAGTACAAATTATTCACAAACTATACAAATATTAATTTTGTATTTTGAGCTTAGCTCTTAGTATTTTCCCTTCATTTATTTTAAAAGACAAATCTTACCTTTTCTGATTAATTCTTTTCCTTCATTAACTAAGTCTGATGTCATATCATCATCTCCCATAAACTGCTGGAAACCAAGCAGATTCAAACAACGGGTTCCCAAACTAATAAAAGCAGATTTTTTAAAAAGACAAGCATTATTTCACATTGTAAGTATTTAGATGAATTATTCTTTAGCATTCTCACTCCCAAAGAAGACTATGCTTCATTATCTGTTATCATATAGTTATCTATAGTCACATCTGACATGCTTCAGGAAGTACCACTTATCTCCCTTTCTAAGAAGCGTATGCCCTGTACTTCACTGATTAGGGTATGCACTATATTCAGGTTTCTTATAGATGTCACTTAAGTTATCAGCATACCTTCAGAAAACAATTATACCAAGACACTAAAATGAAAACTATAATAATGTAAGAACAACTTTTTTCCTCTGATCTAGTTAACCATTTAAATAGCTTTTATATACTATAAATTGATTGCTATATCTTATCTGAAGACTATAACATTGTATCTTATTTGCTATTTACTTTAAATTTGATTGTTGTACAAGACAATCATACTGAAAATATGGAAAACAAGGAAGGAAATGATAGGTGAACAGGCAGGATTAATATTTGTTAAGATCCAACTATACATCAGACAATTTACAGATGCCTTCTTATTTAATTTTTACTATCATTCTAAGAGATAAATATCACTTTACAGATGAGAAAATAGGCCTAAGTGGTTAAATAAATACTTTGCTAAAGATCACTTAATAAATGACATATCTTATCCCAGCCAAAACACAAATCAAGCAGCTTTTTAAAATTATATTAGTTCTCAAATTTTTTCAATGATGTACTTCTATGCAGAGGGAGGCAAAAGGGAGGAGGAGAAAGTGGTGAAGGAGAGAGACACAAAGGAAAAACAGAAAAGCAATTTAGAAAAAGTGAAGCTCTCCATTCCATTTTGCAGTCAAAATGTATAAATATTTAGCTAATCCATAATATATCTACTTGTTTCATTCATATAAAAATGTTTTTTATGTATTACCATTGGGTAAAATTGGGGTTTTGTAGATGATCATGTTAATTCTCTGACTTCAAACATTTCCTAACCATCTTCATATCCTTATGGGAGTACTAAACTCCCAGATGAGAAGCCCAGAATTAGATCATCCTCTTTGGGAAGGTTTTATTTTTGTCTAAAGTGTCAGGAAACAATATTATACTCTCTAAGCAGGTAAGTCTGGATATTCACTTTGGGTGTGGCTGTATTGCTAATAGTGTGGAAATCAGTCTCATTATGGCAGCATTTCAAATGAAAATGAACTTATAAAATCAACCTATCATTGAGATGTCAGTAAGGCATTGTTTCATGTATTTCTATAACATAACATCTATTTTGTGAGTTAACCTGAAAATTAAAAAATACAATCTTTTTTTTCTCCTAAAGATAAAATAGAACTCAAAGTTTATCCAATTAACTCTAGAAAGACACTTTTAATGATATTTAAGTTTAACAATTTTCCTTTCAGACATAGTGATTCCTTATAGCTAAGATTTTATAGTTGACAGAGCACTATTCTACCCCATATCACTTGATCTATATAACCATCTAATAAGGTAAAAAGAAATGCTAATCTTGCCAACATAACTGCTAACATTAAAAAATCATTTTACATTACAAGTTCTTAATGTTCTACTTTATACACTTTCCAAATGAGTAAGAACGTAATAAAAACTTAGTTTCAGAAACACAAAGTATGACTAATCTCTTCTTTTAATACATCATTTTCATACTGTAGATTTGTTACTATCTTCTCCACCTTAAAGAAAACATTTAAAAATTAGATTTGATATTATTGATCAGTTCATATTAAAAGCATTATTTGAAGTTATAATCTTTTAGTTATTTTAAAGGAAGTAAAATGTATTTTTTAAAACGCAATAGAGAATTTATTTTAAACAATATTTGTTTACTCATTACCCTAATGTTAGTAGATACTATCTGTAACAACCATAAAATAATATTGGAAGCTTTTTTTTTTTAGTTTTTCTTTTTTTTTTTCTTTTGAGACTGAGTCTCACTCTGTCTCCCAGGCTAGAGTACAGTGGTGTGATCTCAGCTCACTGCAACCTCTGCCTCCTGGGTTTTCAAGCAATTCTCCTGCCTCAGCCTCCTGAGTAGCTGGGACTGTAGGCACATGCCACCACACCCAGCTAGCTTTTGTATTTTTAGTAGAGACAGAGTTTCACCATGTTGGTCAGGCTGGTCTCAAACCCCTGACCTCGTGATCCATCCGCATAGGCCTCCCAAAGTGCTGGGATTACAGGTGTGAGCCACCGCACCCAGCCCCTATTGGAAGATTTAAATAAAGTAGGTAGATGAAATTTATTTTTCTCAGAAGAGTAAGCAATGAATACTTTTAAGTGTTTTTTGAAAAAGTGGCATTTTGGGTATGTTATGGAGCACTTAAGCAATAAAAGAAGGCAGATAGAGTACAGTATGAGGAAACTTGACACGTAAACAGTAGGAAAGACAGATGCTAGAAGTCAAGTACACCTATCCTTTAACCCCATGTGAATCTCAACCCTGCCTAGATTCTACCATTCATTCTAATTCCATGAAAAGAGCATCCCATGTACTTTCCAACACAGGAGAAAATTTCTCCTCTAGTTTTAATGTACAACTTAATTACCATTGCTCCTCACCTGACCCTTTGTGCTGGCCACGGGCTGAAGCATCTAGACAGCCCGCAATAATTATGGGAAAGCTCTAAGGCGAATTTATGTCATTAGAAAGAAGCTAGACATAAGGGTGCTTTGCAGGCTAGACTAGCTGTCAATGTCAAAAGCCAGGACTTAGAGTTAATGTTCTGAAATTAATCCTTTCATTTTGTAGCCTAAATAGAATAATGCTAAAATAAAATTATTTATTGTAATAGAATAATAACTCTACCTCTTTTTTCTTTCTTTAAAATTTTTAGAGGGAGAATCTGACCTGATCACTCAGTAGTCTCTTCAAACTATCCCCAGCTTCTCCAAAGCTACAATAAAACAAACTGAAACTCCATCAGTAAATACTTAAAAGAGCTTTAAAGAGAAAGGATATCCAGATTTAAGAGCAAAAGAAAAAATAATATGTTTCTTACCTAAAATAAGTAGCAATGCAGAGAATTACCACCAACATAGGATAATATATATAGAATCCATCTGCAATAAAGGATAAAACTTTCATGGAACCCATAATCTAAAGAGCAAGAAAAAAGTAAGTTAAATTGGAATAGTTCTGTAATTTCCATTCCTTTCCATCATTAGACAATTTGCCCAAAACCAGTTATACCAACCCATTTGAACCTTTTAAAAAGTAGAAACAAAGCAGTAAATGAACTAATTTTTTAAAAATCTGCTTTTTATTGATGTTTTTCTCTTAAGGAAAATTAATGTAATTGTTACTCAAAATTATCACATACATTGACTATAAATATAAAGTTAATGTTAGTATAGGTAAGTTCTTTTGATACTGCTCAGCTAGACAACCTAAATGAACCAAAACACATTTATATAATAAAAGAAGCAAAATCATGTTCATCTAGTCAATAGTAATATATATATATATATACAATCTTTAAGAGAAAGTTTTACCAGTAACACTAAAAAACCTTTCTGCTAGCATTAAAAGAAATTTCACAATAACAGCATCTCATATACATAGTGAACCTAAGGAATTAGTTTTGTGACCATACTTACAGATGTATAAGCAGTTGGCTGAGTATTCTTGTGAGAGATGGATGAATCCATATGGGTCAAACCCAAGAAATTAAGACATAAAGGAGGTGTCAAACGGCAAAATAGCCTGCAATAAACATTTACAAATACGTATATAAAAAGTAAAGCAGCAAAATACATTTTATTTATATTGAGGTATATTAAAAACATTTCCAATAATTATATACAAAATTTTCATCTGTTTTATATATATATATGTAATTCTTAATGTGACCTGCCCTCACTTACTTGGGAGGATATTCTGAAAATTGTCACATTAATACCTACATGACTACAGCCTCAAGCTCCTTGCTTTTATGATTTCTGCCATTGCTTTACCCCCACAAATTGTGGAATGCCTTTGCATGCATCTTCTATGACTAAACCATCCATAAAATGCATCTCGCAGCATGATAAGGACAGTAACATCTTCAAGGTGAATTGTATTCAGTACAAAAAAGAACTGAAGTTGTATCAACATATGTCATTCTGATAAGTATAGGTACAGAGTTGTTCAATTCTGTCCAAATAAAAAGAGTGCCTTACATACCCACAGACATGGAGAATTGGGGCTGAAGAGAATAAAGTGTGCATATGTATAGCGATTCACTCAGGGTGGTAGCAAAAATATTAAACGAAAATATTAGAGAAAGTTATAGAATATAGTCACAAACCTTCTTGGAAGGCCAAGAAGTTTGCATAGTTTCAGTAGAAGTTTCAGCTGAAGGCAGCCTAAATCCCCTTTACATTTAGTCAATAAGAAAAGCAAATAGCTACGGTATGTAGAGGAGTTTATCTGAATAACTTGTTTACTCATGTGGTCTTAAAACTAACCTTTGAGCCGGATGGCCCTATTGTGGGGAGGTCGACCAGGGATATTACCCACTAACAGTGTTTGCTTTGGGCATTGGAACCTGCCCTTTAATCTTCAACCTCTAGTGGTGTTGACTCAAGCCTTTGTCAATTAAACTTTACTGAATAAATGCGAGTCTCATGACTAAAACACCAAAAGCAATGGCAACAAAAGCCAAGATAGACAAATGGGATCTAATTAAACTTCAGAGCTTCTGTACAGCAAAAGAAACAATCATAAGAGTGAACCGGCAACCAACAGAGTGGGAAAAAATTTTGCAATCTACCCATCTGACAAAGGGCTAATATCCGGAATCTACAAAGAACTAAAACAGATTTACAAGAAAAAAACAAACAAACCCATTCAAAAATGGGGAAAGGATATGAATAGACACTTCTCAAAAGAAGACATATATGAGGCCAACAAATATATGAAAAAATGCTCATCATCACTGGTCATTAGAGAAATGCAAATCAAAACAACATTGAGGTATCATCTCATGCCAGTTAGAATAGCAATAATTAAAAAATCTGGAGAGGGTGTGGAGAAATAGGAACACTCTTAACACTGTTGGTGGGAGTGTAAATTAGTTCAACCATTGTGGAAGACAGTGTGGCAAGTCCTCAAGGAGCTAGAAATAGAAATTCTATTTGACCCAGCAATCCCATTACTGGGTATATACCCAAAGGATTATAAAGCGTTCTATTATAAAGACACATGTACATGTATGTTCATTGCGGCACTGTGTACAATAGCAAAGACCTGGAACCAACCCAAATGCCCATCAATGATAGGCTGGACAAAGAAAATGTGGCACATATACACCATGGAATACTATGCAGCCATAAAAAATGATGAGTTCGTGTCTTTGTAGGGACTTGGATGAATCTGGAAACCATCATTCTCAGCAAGCTGACACAAGAACAGAAAACCAAACACCACATGTTCTCACTCATAGGCGGGTGTTGAACAATGAGAACAGGTGGACTCAGGGAGAGAGGCATCACACACTGGGAGCAGTCAGGGGTGGGGAGGGATAACATGGGGAGAAATGCCAGATATAGATGAAGGGGGAATGGAAGCAGCAAACCACCTGGTTATGTATGTACCTATGCAACAACCTAGCATGACCTGCACATGTACCCCAGAGCCTAAAGTACAATAAAAAATAAATAAATAAAATAAAATAAAAAAATGCGAGTCTCACTGGTTGGTGCCAGCCAGTATTCAAAACTGTTTATAGCACTCTCTAGAGAGTCTGTAAGCCACCCAGACACACTCAGTCGAACTGGCAAAGCATAATATCTATGTGTCAGTGTACTTTACACATCTGTCACTGAGTCAGGGTCTGCAGGACAGATCCCTGCAGGTGGTGACTTCAGGTATGAATAAAAAAGACATAGAGAAATATTTTGTGATGATAGAACTGTTCTAAATCTTGTGTTGGTGGCTATAGGAATCTATACACACACACACAGACACACACATGCAAATGAATAAAGGATAAAAAAAATGGTGAGAATTATATAAAGTTTGTAGTAGAGTTAATAATAATGTTTTTCTCTCATTTCCTGGTTTTGATATCGCTGGGGGTAGTGTGGCGAAGGTTACATAGGACTTTTTGTACTATTTTTGCAACCTCCTGTGAGTCCATAATTATTTGGAAAACAATAAAAAAGATGCTTAACAATACTTTAGATGTCAATTCCCTTATATTACCTAATTTCATCCTTTATAAATACCTAATAGGACTCATTTAACAATAAGAACAAGTAATGGATTGTACTCTCTTGCCCAAGTTGAAGATACCTCTTTAAATCCTCTCTAAATTCTGCAGGAAAAATTGTTCTTGTTGGTTTTCTCAGTCCTTCTCAACTCAGTGTGAGACCACTGAATCTTAGAACACCATCCAGGTCTGACTTAGTCTCTAAACTCTCCATTGTTCGTGCTCCTTGCTAATCTCTGGTTGGTAAATCCAGGCTCACTAAGTATTGTTTTTTCTGCCTTCTAGCCTAACTTAGTATAACTACTTTAACCTTAAACCTCAAGCAGAAGTTAGCTGGCAATCAACAAACATGAATTTAATATTTAAACCTAATCAATTAGCTCATAGAAATACAGATGTTAGTAGTTAACACCTGTAAACAACAAAAAAATAAAAGATTCATAAGAATACACTCAATGAAATAATTTCTCTTGTTTCTAAACACAATCCTACTTACATGCCACTGAAAAGAAGGCTATAAGCATCAGTCTGGTGATGTGAAGCCAAGTAATAATAGTTAAATACACGAATCCTGAACACAGTAGAATAAACACAGATACTTAGGAAGAAAATGGAAAGGAAGCAAGCAATCTGGAAAAAAAACAAAAATGAAGCAGTTTGTTTAGAACAAAGAGACTTTAGCACTTAACAATTACAAGTATTATCCTTCCTTTTTTTTTTTTTTTGAAATAGTGTCCCACCATCTCACCCTGTTGCCCAGGCTGGAGTGCAGTGGTATGATCTCGGCTCACTGCAACCTCCACCTCCTAGGTTCAAACGATTCTCCCGCCTCAGCCTCCTGAGTAGTTGGGATTACAGGCATGCACCACCATGACTGCCTAATTTTTTGTATCTTTAGTAGAGACAGGGTTTCAGCATGTTAGCCAGGCTGGTCTCAAACTCCTGACCTTGTGATCTGCCCACCTTGGCCTCCCAAAGTGATGGGATTACAGGTGTGAGCCACTGCGCCCAGCCCAGCCTTCATTTCTAGCTAACATTTATTGACGTTGTAATTATATGGGTAACAGAGAATTTTTTAATCACCTACTAAGATTATAGAAAAAAATTTACATTTCAAACTGTTTAATATCTTAGATCCATAAGTTTCTAACCTACCTCCTAAAGTGAGCCTATTTTCCCATTCCCTTGGCAACTCTTCACATGAGGCCTATAAGTTATGTAGCTTTACTGGCATAAATATAATCAAAGTATTCCCAGGGCCGAGTGTGATGGTTCAGGTCTGTAATCCTAGCAGTTTGGGAGGCTGAGGTAGGAGGATCACTTAAGCCCAAGAGTTCCAGATCAGCTTGGGCAAAATGGTGAAACCCTGATTCTACAAAATATACAAAATTTAGCAGGGGATGGTGATACATGGCTGTAGGCCCAGCTACTTGGGAGGCTAAGGTGAGAGGATCTCTTGTGATTGGGAAGTCAAAAGGATCTCTTGAGACCAGGAAGTGGCGTGAACATGGCTCACTATTCCCGCCATGTTCACGCCACTATACTCCAGCCTGGGTGACAGCAAGATTCTGCCTCCAAAAAAAAAGAAAGAAAAGAAAAAAATATTCTCAGATTTTTGGACTATCTTGCAACTTTTTACGTCTCCTCAAATACAGTTCTTAGTTTCTATAGTGTGGGTAAAATAATGAAGCACACTTTTGGAAGTCTGAATAACAACATTGCTGAAAACGTCACTGATTTCATTTTCAGTAGAAGAAATACATGGAGAAAACAGTTAAGGGTTATGCTATAAAGTGACATCTATTTATGATAGGCATAAAATAAACTGACCTCAATATAAATATAATTATATGTTTTTTCTGCCAGCTGTATGAAGACTGCAAAGAGGGATAAGACAGGAGTAGTGCTAAAGAATGTGCACTCTGACCACACAACAATCACAGAGAAGATGGACAGAACCACAGCAAGTATCTTGTAAAACCATGGTCGCAAAAGACATTCCCAGTACCATTCTAGAAGATAAAAGAAAAAAATGATTAGGAAAACTATAAAAGAGTAACGGGGTATTTACATTGTCTTCAAAATATCTCCCCATAAGATATTTAATTACAAAGAGGAAAACAACAATTTTACAGTGGAGAAACCAGCAAATACCACCCTAACCAAATGATCACCCATAATGGGACAAGCTGATATCATGTGCCTCATGCTATCATGTATTGAGAGGAACATGACATTGCTGCTGTGGTATTCCTACAAAAAAATGCAGAAACTGCATCTAATTTGAAAGAAACATCAAAGTCAAATTCAAGGACGTTCAACAAGAAACTGGCCTATACTCCCAAAAACATCTATATCATAAAACACAAAGACTGAGAAACTGTGTCAGATTAGAGGAAACTAAGGAAACATAACAACTGAATGTGATGCATAATCTGGAATTTTATACAAAGAATATTATTGGGATATTTACAGCAAAATCTGAATGAGGTCTGTAAATAGTATAGTATAATATTAATTTTTTATTTTGATAGCTGTATTCGGCTATGTAAGAAAATATTTTTATTTTAGAAAATATATACTGAAACATTTAGGAATAAGGAGGCACAGTGTCTGGATACAACTCTAAAATAGTAAGAAAAAAATATATACAGATAAAGCAAATCAATGTAGTAAAATGTTAACATTTGAAGAACCTGGTTGAAGGCTATGTGGGAATATTTTGTACTATTTTGGTTTTAAGTCTGAATTTAGGTAAAAATAAAAATTTTAAAAAGAAAGCTCAATAAATTGAAAAAGCTGTATTTTTACTTCATTTATTAAGCAGTTGAGCTTCTGGCTCACTTTAATTCTTTACAATCTTCCTCTCATCATAATTCCTAGTGATTTCAATATCCATATAAATGATTCCCCTTTCAGTACCTTTGTCTCTTATTTCCTTGACCTCCTCTCCTCTAATGAACTTTTCCTCCACCCTACCTCAATTACTTGTTGCCACAGTGATGCCTAAACCTTTTATTATCAGTATCTCCAACCCTTCCATATAATCTCATTTCAGCATCCTTGTCTCCAAACAATATATTCATCTAGTACAACATTTCAACACCACTGACTGACCACACCTGGACCAAAGATCAATTTATTCTATCACCTTTTTACTGTTATTTAACACTTTGATGTCCTTCCTTCCTTCCTCATGCGGCCCAGATTCCAGTCTTTGAGGACAGTATCCCACTTCCTTTGCCCCGCCTTGCTTCACTGTAGCTGCTTAGCTAAACCACACCTGGTTAGATCCAACTCCCTGGCTAGTCTGTGCCTGCATCCACATAGCTGCACATTGCAGGACAAAGACACACAACTTTGTTGACTGGTCTCACTTTAAATTCTGCATCACTAGCTTCAAGTGGGTCCTCGGTACTGCCTAGTTAGCCTACTATAATTCCCCAATCTTCTCCCATGACCACTCTCCTAGGCAACTATTTTGCACCTTCGCTTCCTTCTTCAAATCTCTAAAATCTGCCCTCCTATACTTACTCTTCACACTTCACTGAGAAAATAGAAGTGATTAGAATTTTCTGAAGTTTCTACCACTACACCTTCTCATCTAGTGACATGTGTGCCTTACCTCCACTATTCTCTTCATTGTTCACTATTTCCCATCTCACCTCTGCTAATCATGAACATTGTCCTAGAAATTTTCTATTGTCTTATCAAATTCTATTATATCATTTACTAATTACATGTGATAATTTCTCTTGACTATGTCCCCAATCCTCTGTCAGCTACTACACCTTATCTCTGTGTAGTAGTATCTCTTTTATAAGGAAAACATTTTTAGAGTTTTCTACTCTGTCTCCAATTGCTCCTCTTCTTATTTCTTTGAAACTTCAGTCAGGCTTTTTTATCCTCACTTCTCTAAAATCCAATGGTCAAGTCTTAGTATTTATGATCCTTAATCTATGTGCAACATTTGAAAAGATACTTTACATACTCTTTTCCTCAAAACACTTCATTGTCCTGATTTTCCTATTTCATTCCCTCCTTTTCTAGTTTTTTCTGCTGGTTACTTTCTCACTGACCTAATCTCTAAATTGTGGAATGCCTCAGGCTTGGTTCTCAAGACTTTTCTCTTTTCTCTATCTCAATTACTTCTTTATTGATTTTATCCTGACCCCATGTTTCGCTACACATTGATCGCACCCTAATTCATACCTGCAGTTCAGACTTCTCTATTGAATTTCAATTTCTCTGATTAACTGCCTATTCGGCATCTTTATGCCTTTATATGTTCATTGTCTGTTTTCCTCACTCCACAAAAGCAGGAATTTTTGTCTTTTTGAATCGATATATGCCAAGCTACCAAGCACCCAACAATATATAACACTAATGTGCCCAAATATTTGTTGAATGAATGAGAACAGATACTACATCATTCCTTCATTTAACTAGGAAGGATTTTTGTTAAAGAAGTTTTTTGAGATATTTATTACAGCCATTAGGTCTTCATACTCAAAACCAAACATGCAAAGGAGGAACAAGTGAATATAACCATTTATTTGAATAAATAAGGTTTAATAAGTTTTAATACTGTGACACTTTAATACTGTGACACTGAGGAACAAGTGGATATAACCATTTATTTGAATAAATAAGGTTTAATAAATTTTAATACTGTGACACTTTGGTACTTGCATTAAGTTTCTTCACACTAAATTTAACAACACTTGAAGGGAGTGTCATAAATTATCAAAAAGGAGAAAAATAAGGATGACTACAGAGTATAGGTTTTATAACAAGACTAATAAAGAGGACTACTTAGGGGAATATTTCAGTAGTATGTCAAGACTGAAAAAGAGACCCAAGCTTGTGATATAAAATTACTTAAAATTCTAACTATTTTAAGTACAGTCATGTGTCACATAACAACATTCCAGTCAATGATGGACTGCATATACAATGGTGATCCCATAAAATTACATCACTACATGTTTATGATTATCTTTTCTATGTTTAGATACACAAATACTTACCACTGTGTTACAACTGCCTACAATATTCAGTACAGTAACTTACTGTATAGGTTTGTAGCCTAGGATTAATAAGCCATACCATATAACCTACATGTGTAGTGGGCTATAACATCTAGGTTTCATACATACTCTATGATGCTTATATAATGATGAAATTGACTAACTACACATTTCTCAGAATGAATCCCAGTCAATAAGTAATGCATAATTGTATATATTATGCATTATACAAAATATGCTTCATGTATACATGTTTTTTAATAGAATTTTTATTATTTGTGAAGTAACGGTGGAAACTGGTTTATGTTATACGGTAAGTAAAATAGTTATTTTGGGGAAATGTTATCAGATACTTAATATCACAAAGTATAAATCAAATAATACAAATAAAATTCAACTTTGCATTGGTGAAAATACATAATTTTTTTCTACAGAAAACTTTTCATCATTAAAGTTTGTAATTTATATCAAATTACATACCAAATGTAGGATTATAAAAATATTGGATAAATCGATTTTCTGGCTCTGGCGATTGAAAGGTGTGAACAAACTGACGAGTAGCACTAGTTTCATTTTTTGCTACATCTTCTAGATAAAATGCTTGTTCCAAAAGAATTTGCCATTGTACTTGAGTTCGACGGTGTCTCTGAACTGAATAAATCACCTAAAAAAGAGAATGGGGGTAGACCTGACAGTGTTCTGATCCAACAGTGGTTCACCTCCCCACTAGGGAGCATGTTTTGATTGTCACATCAGTGGGGAAGTGCTAGTGCATTTACTGGGTCAGACTGAGAATATTAATGTTCTAAAATGATGTAACAGTTTCATATAATGCAACAGTTATGCTCAGTGAAGAATTCTCCCTCCCCAAATGCCAACAGTACTCCTGTTGGTATACACAAAGATAAACTATTTCAAGGAATAATGATAAGGACAGGAGCAAAATAAAGTTTTAAATATACAGTCACTAAAAATTCCTTTTTTGGCTGAGGGCAGGAGAATTGCCTGAACGCGGGAGGTGGAGGTTGCAGTGAGCCGAGACTGCGCCACTGCACTCCAGCCTGGTGCCTGGCAACAGAACGAGACTCTGTTTCAAAAAAAAATTCCTTTTTTTTTATGAGCAATGATTACAAGTTAAACTAAAATCATCAGTAAGTGAAATATTTATAATTAACAAAGTTACCTGTTTATGCAGTTTTACCAGACTTTTTTCACTTGGGTAGATATTATGCTTTTCATCAAAATCTTCATAATCATCCATGTTCCTACCCATTTTTTCCTGATATTCTGTAGGGCACTAAAAGGAACAAGTAGATTTTTTAAAATCTTAATTGTAAAAAGATAAAAAAATGTTTTTATTAAAAATCTTTCATTCTTGAGCATCATTTTGAGTTCTAATTTTCTCAAAAACCTCTTCCTACTTTATTATCATCTCTAGTTAGACTTCTACTTGCTAATATTTTCTTGAAAATGTCTTAAAAGGTGGACTGAGTTTCTTCTCACCTGTATAATATTAATCTTTATGCTCATATATACTAGATATATATGTATGGCTATCAGTAGGGAGCTTACCTACAGAAAGCAACTTGTATTTGAGAGGATTATTCTAAGTAGGGTAAATTATTTTTCTAGCTGAAGAATGAAGAAGCATCATGACAAATTCAAGATGCTGAATTTTTGAAAGGCATAGCACAGAGAAATAAACACATGAATTTAAAGTCATATTCCACACCACTACTCATTTATTACCTATATGAACTTGGGCAAGTTAGTTAACCTCTCTTAGTAGTTCTCAAAAAGTAGCAAATGTGAGAGAAATAGTTAGAAAAGTGATTCCTATGAGTATTATCTCAACAAAACAGAACACTAGACAACAATTAGTATAACAGATTAAAATCCAGGAAAATAAATGTTTCCATGGTTCTGTGAGTTTAAGACAACTGGGGAACTGCAATACCCTAATTCAGTACCAATGCATCAAAACTTTAACTGTACGATTTATTAAATACCTATGTTAATGTCACTCTTTTTATGATATATTTCATGAATATATTAATGAAATATATTTGTAAAATAACATGTTGGAAGCTGACTATAATGGAGGCCTTAATTTATTTTCTTATAGGACATATGCCTTTAGTGAACATATAAAATAACACTTTAAAGGTTTATTTCCATCATTGTCATGGCAATCCTTATGCATTAGTCAACCTCTATCTCCGTATTTCAACAAAAAATACTGCCAATAATTAGTGTTAAACTTGTAGTAATTTAAAAAAAACTTCAAAGTACAGATGGTTTATGGTTAATATTTACATGAAAATGAGTTTAGAAGAAAATGAGTTACTCAGCTATAGGCTGTATTTATACTTTTCTCGTACTTTTATAATTTATAATATTATATAAATGCATATTTCAAAAGAAAACATATTTCATTACCTTTTTAAGTATTGTATCAACACATTTTCTCAATGGGTGGTTATACTTGATGCTTTCATTCACTTTACGAACCTCCTATTAAAAACAGCAAAATAAATAAAAATATTTCTATTTCTACAGATCACATATTCCAAATGAGAATGCATTACGTACTATACATTTTCTCACAACTTCAACTTCGACCCAAATTACTTTGCATTACACGAATAAAAGTTCTTAAGAACACAAGTGAAAATGCAAAGTCACTGAAAGGCTATTTCTGTACCCTAAACTTTTTCTTACTTTCTAAATTCACTCTCTCATCACTTCATTACTTGGTATACAAAAAAAGAATAAGCATTATTTAAAAGTCTGCAAAAGATCAGACAAACATTGTGGTCCTAAAAGAAAAGGGCTATCTTCCTCCACCTTACTCATCAGGATCAATTATCTCATTATCTGAAATACAGCAAAAACCAAAGGAAGTAGAAAAGGCTACAAATGTGACAAAGTGCCAGCTCCTTTCCAACAGAAGAGTACTCTAGAGCAGTCATGATTGATTAACTCCATACTTGCTTACTAGGAGCACACCATTAGCTGGCCGGGCGCAGTGGCTCAGGCCTGTGATTCCAGCACTTTGGGATGCAGAGGCAGACAGATTGCTTGAGCCCCCGAGTCTGAGACCAGCTTTGGCAACACGGTGAAACCCTGTCTCTACCAAAAATACAAACATTAGCCAGTCTCATAACTCGACCTCAAAATAAATTAATTAATTAAATTTTTAAAATAGAATAAAATAAAAACAACTCACTCCAGTTAGAATGGCAATCATTAAAAAATCTGGAGACAACATATGCTGGAGAGGATGTGGAGAAAAAGGAACACTTTTACACTGTTGGTAGGAGTGTAAATTAGTTCAACCATTGTGGAAGACAGTGTGGCAAGTCCTCAAGGAGCTAGAAGTAGAAATTCTATTTGACCCAGCAATCCTATTACTGGGTATATACCCAAAGGATTAAAAATCGTTCTATTATAAAGACACATGAACATGTATGTTCATTGTGGCGCCATTTAGAATAGCAAAGACCTGGAACCAACCCAAATGCCCATCGATAATAGACTGGACAAAGAAAATGTGGCATATACACCATGGAATACTGTGCAACCATAAAAAGCAATGAGTTCGTGTTCTTTGTAGAGACATGGATGAATCTAGAAACCATGATTCTCAGCAAACTGACACAAGAACAGAAAACCGAACACTGCATGTTTTCACTCATAGGCAGGTGATGAACAATGAGAACACATGGGAACAGGGAAAAGAACAAAGAACAACACTCACTGGGCTAGGTTGGGGGAGGGATTGGAGGGAAAGAGAGGGACAGTGGTGGGGTTGGGGGACAGGGAGGATGGGAAAGGATAACACAGGAAGAAATACCTGATATAGGTGACGGGGCGGCAGCGGGGATGGAGACAGCAAACCACATTGCCATATATGTACCTATGCAACAATCCTGCAGAATGCAGGATGTGCACATGTACCCCAGAGCCCAAAGTACAATTAAAAAAAAAAAAAACCACGCACTATTTGCCAGTACTATGCTAAGTGTAAGGCCCCCATAATCCATACTGGAGGGTAGAGAGAGAAGCTAGGGAATTGACAATCTTAAAATTTCAGTCCAGTAATGAGATAATTATATAAACAATTCTGAATATAAAAAGGCATAAAAGGGTTAAAGACTCTTTAGAACTAGTAGTTCCTAAAGAATCACAATATTCTATAATATTCATGAAATTTAAAAAAAGTTGAAACCACTGTTTTAGTCAGATGAAATAGCATATTTATTACCTAAACGCATAAGAGAACTGACCAGGATATTTAAAGAACATTCTGGGGCATAGAGTAGAGCAGGGTTTTAAGGGATACAAAACTGAAGGCAGAGAAGCCATCTAGCACATAAACAAAATTGTGAAAAAAAATTTGTAAATTATATGACAAAGACTTATTATCCTTAATATGTGATGAACTCTTACAAATCAACAGAAGAATGGGAATATAGAAAAAAAATACCATTGGCCAATAAATGTCTAAAAAGATATTTGAGCTCACTAAAAACAGTTATAAATTTTTAAAACAAGAAGTTTTTTTTTTTCAAAATCGATACCATATAAAAAGGTGAGAAAACATGCCCTCTTATACACAGTAAAAAGTAATATATTCTATTTAATTTCACAACATCTATCGAAATTTAGAATACGTATACTCTATAAATAATCTGCACCAGTAGACACTATTCCTGTCAAGGAATTTAACTTAATGAGGAAAACAAATATAACAAACATAGAAAACTATTATCAGAGAAAAGTATGAGATGCTTTAATAAGGGATAACGTAGAGTGGGAGATTTTCTAATTAATTGATTATTTAAAATGAGATGAAACAAAATGTACTGGACTCAGTCAACCAAAGGGAGAGACAAGAATATTCCAGGCAGAGAGACAGAGACAGCATATACAAAGGCCTCCAGGCCTAAGTGAGCACATTACTTGAAGAGACTGAAAAAAGTCCAGTGTGATTACAGGGAAAGGAAGATCAAGGGTCTGCATAGCACTGGATCAGGCTGAAAGAGCAAGATCAAAGTGCTCCTAGAAGGCCTTAATCATGGTTTATTTTGAGGTTAATGTGTGAGGCCTACATATGACAGTGACAAGATAAGACTGGGGTTTTTAAAAGGTCACATGGAAGCATCATTACATCTATTTTCCATTATTAAGCTGCCTTAAAGTTTTTTGACTTGTTAGCACACATTTATCATACTTTGAATATGAACTATACAATTTGTTTATGTATTATGTAAAATATGCTTTTATTCTTTAGATTATTTAGCTTATTAAAAAACAAGTACTGATACAGTTAATTAACATTTGCTATATCTGTTATAAATTTAGGGTTCCTTCAAAAGTTCATAATTTTAATTAAGCATGGCAAGTATTTGAAATATACTGCTTGCTTTCTTCATACAAAATAACAAACTTTGAGCTCTCTCATTACTGTGCCTTGTCAAATTCTTTTCTAAGCAGGTCAGACAACATTCATGAAGGGAGGCTAATAGGCAGCTTTCAGTGGAAATAAGTAGCTGTTTCTCCCTCCCTAAAATTATCTAGAAAAATAACAAAAGGTAAAGGTGACCTTTTAGGTCATCTAGCAAATAACTTTTGAATGATTTAACATAGCTTGTAAGTTTTATTAATGCTTCAAAGAGAGGTAATAGACATACAAATGCATCTATCAATTTTAGAGATAAATATATCATAAAAATACCAAACAGTTTTTATAAAACTACATTTGGGAGATTAAATGGATAACTGAAAAAATAATTACCAATGAAGTGATTGAACTTTGTTATCTGTCGAATGACTGGACTTTTCAGTATGAAATTTAAAGCCATGATATACCTTTATTTTTCCAATGTAAACTTTATGCTCAAATTGATTTGGTTTTAAGACTTCTGATATCTGCCTGGAGTGATATCAGCTATCAAAATTCTTTCAAGGCCCAGGTCATACTTCATGTCTTCTGACCACTATTCAGAAGTGATACCTCTCCATACTAGAGCATTTTCTTGTTATCATTCATGCCACATTGACCACATACTATAAGGGACTCTGTCCAATTTTCTACTCTAGAAAGTAAGAATAGAAATTTCTATTCTGACCAGTTCTGCATAGCACTTAACATGGAAGGAAGACAAAAAGTACTTTTTAAATGATAAATACATTTTTCCTCAAGTTTATAAGTTTCCAGATGTTCAGAAACGCAGAAAGAATCCCAAAAAAACCTTGAAGTACGTGGTCAAAGAAATTCATACAGAGGAAGTAGAGCAAGATGGCTGAACAGAAGTGTCTACTGATTGCCCTCCCCACAGGAACACTAAATTAAGCAACTATCCACACAAAAATTACCTTCATAAAAAACAAAAAACAAGGTACAACCTCAGCCACTGTTGGGTATATCACCAGGTGGGCTTTTGGGGTCCCAGGTTGCAGGCTGTAGCTCTTAGACAGCATTGTTGAACCTTCTCTGGGTCAGAGGGGAGCCTAGTGCCCTGAAGGGAAAACCCTAGGCATTGCAGCATTCACCACAAGCTGACTGAAGAGATGTTGGGCTTTGAATGAACACTGGGGTAGTGAGGACGTATTTACCGTGGCCCTGGGGCAGTAGTGGCCATGGGTGGAGACTCCTGTGGTGTGGAAAGGGGAGGAAAGCATGGGAAGGACTTTGTCTTGTGGCTTGGGTTCCAGTTCAGCCACAAGTAAATTCCTATAGTTTCTAGCTTCAGGCCTTGGCTTCCAGATAGCTTCTCTGTGGACACACCCCAACTCAGGGAGAGCTTGCCACTCTAAAGGGAAGAACATAAGCTGAGTTGGCTTCACCACCTGCTGACTGTAGAGAACCAGGGTCTTGAGCAAACATAGGCAGTAGCCAGGAAGCGGTTACCATGGGCCCTGGACAAGACTCAGTGCCATGATAACTTCAGGTCTAACCCAGTACAGTCCCAGTGGTGGTGGCCACAGAGGTGCTTGTGACACCCCTCCCCTACCTCCAGGCAGCTTAGGGCAGAGAGAGAGACTCCAGTTGTTCAGGAGAAAGTAATACAGAACCAGAGTCTCTGTCTGGTACTCCAGAGAATTCTTCCAGATCTTATCCAAGACCACCAAGGTGGCACATCCCTATAAGTCTATAAGAACCACAGCATTAAGGGGCTTAGGGTGTCCCCTAATATAGAGACAGTTGCAGTGACCAAAAACATAGATTACAATACCCAAGTTCCTTCAAATACCTGGAAAGCCTTCCCAAGAAGGATGGCTACAAATAAGCCCATACTGCAAAGACTAACTTCAATGTCCAGACACTGATGAACATCCACAAGAATCAAGACCATCCAGAAAAACATGACCTCACCAAACAAACTAAATAAGGCACCAGGGCTGAGCACAGTTGCTCACTCCTGTAATCCCAGCACACTGGGAGGCTGACGTTGGAGGTCACTTGAGCTCAGGAGTTGAGAACAGCCTGGGCAACATGGTGAAACCTCATCTCTTCAAAAACACAAAAACTAGCTGGGTGTGGTGGTGTGTGCCTGTAGTACCAGCTACCAGCTACTTGGGAGGCTGAGGTGAGAGGATAACTTGAGCCCTGGAGGTAGAACCTGCAGTGAGCCAAGATCATGCCCCTGAACTCCAGCCTGGGCAACACAGTGACAACCTGCCTTAAAAAAATTAAATTAAATAAATAACAAGGCACCAGGGACCAATACTGAAGACACAGAGATATACGCCCTATAATTCAAAATAGCTGTTTTGAGGAAACTCAACAAAATTCAAGGTAACACAGAGAAGTAATTTAGAATCCTATTAGATACAGTGAACAAAGCTGTTGAGGGAATTTAAAATAATCAAGTAGAAATTCTGGAATTGAAAAATGGACTGACATATTGAAGAATGCATGAGAGTCTCTTAACAGCAGAACTGACCAAGCAAAAGAAAGAATTGGTGAGCTAGAAGATGCTTGAAAATTTGTCTATTTAAAAATACAGTTAGAGGAGACAAAAAGTAATAAAAAAAAAAAAAGAATAACAAATGTCTACAAATGCTAGAAGATAGCCTCAAAAGGGCAAATCTAAGTTATTGGCCTTAATGAGGAGACAGAGCAAGAGATAAGTGTAGAAAGTTTATTCAAAGTGCTAATAACAGAGAGCTTCCCAAACCTAGAGAAAGATATCAATATTCAAGTACAAGGAGGTTCTAGAACACCAAGCAGAGTTATCCCATATAAGGCTATCTCAAGGCATTTTATAATCAAACTCCCCAAGGTCATAAAAAAGAGTGAGATCCAGTCATTTGCAGTAATATGGGTAGAGCTAGAGGTCATTATGTTAAGTGAAATAAGCCAAGCACAGAAAGACAAACTTCACATGTTCCTACTTATTTACAGGGCTGGGAAAGGATGTGGGTGGGGGGAGGGTGGGAAATGGGAATGGTTAATGGGTACAAAATTATAGTTAGAGTGAATAATATCAGTATTTGATAGAACAGGGTGACTACAGTCAATAACAATGTAATTGTACATTTAAAAATAACTAGCCGGGCGCGGTGGCTCAAGCCTGTAATCCCAGCACTGTGGGAGGCCAAGGCGGGTGGATCACAAGGTCAAGAGATGGAGACCATCCTGGTCAACATGGTGAAACCCCATCTCTACTAAAATGACAAAAAATTAGCTGGGCATGGTGGCGCATGCCTGTAATCCCAGCGACTCAGGAGGCTGGGGCAGGAGAATTGCCTGAACCCGGGAGGCGGAGGTTGCGGTGAGCCGAGATTGCGCCATTGCACTCCAGCCTGGGTAACAAGAGCGAAACTCAGTCTCAAAAATAAATAAATAAATAAATAACTAAATGAGTATAACTGGATTATTTGTAACGTAAAGAAAAATAAATGTTTGAGGTGATGGATACATACAAAAAATTTTAAAAACCCCAGGAACGCAAACAAAAAAAAAAGAAATTCATACCTGAGAAATCATGCACTGTTTTTGATGGAAAGAGGTTCAGAGTTTTCCTGCTCTGCATGTGTACCAACTGCTATTTACAAAACATCCATTTTTTTTTTTTTCGTTCATGGAGACTGAGTTTTGCTCTTGTTACCCAGGCTGGAGTGCAATGGCCCGATCTCGGCTCACTGCAACCTCCGCCTCCTGGGTTCAGGCAATTCTCCTGCCTCAGCCTCCTGAGTAGCTGGGATTACAGGCATGAGCCACCATGCCCAGCTAATAAAACATCCATTTTTAAAGAGTGGTTTCTTATCTAATATTTTTTACACAGTCTAAAACCAAAGAATACTATACTAAAATAGAACAGAGGTAATCAATACTGGCTCTTAATTTTCCACATCTTATTTCTAAGTACAGGGGTCCTATTTAAAAATAACAAGAATAAAATCTATTTTATTCAGAGAGCAAAGCTTCCCAAGGGAAAATCCAGAACTCAAATAACTGGGTTTATTTTTTTTTTGCAGGAATGTTTAACAAATTAGTGAAATCCAAATTCCTCAAATCTGAAACAACTGAATTTAATACCAACTTTTGGATGGTATTAAATTTGGAACGCTATCGAATTTAAAATATATTAATTTCTTTTATCAAATATAAGTATCTTATCAAAATATCAGTTTTCAACTACTTCAATTTTTTTAAAAATTCAAAATTTCAAATATAATTATAAAATGTATCAAATATAAATTATCTTCTTTCAAAAGATGTAATAACATTCATCATAGGAATGTTGAATATAACAGGAAATGTAATAAATTTAAATAATACTATTTATAGACTTACTCCTACATTTAAATCAATGTTTTCTGCTATAGTTCTTACATTTTGTAGTGAAGAAATGCTGCAAAGCCCACATGAAATTTTCTAATCACACTATACATTCATTTGTTCATTTATTCATTCACTTCAAAAATGGTTGCTGAGTGTTTAAGCGTCTGGAGGACCAGGGAAGATGTTATGGGTTCAACTGTGTCCCCTGAAGCCTAACCTCCAGTATCTTAACATGGGATCCTATTTGTAATAGGGCTGTTGCAGATTTAATTAGCTAAGTTATGATGAGCTTATACTAAAGTGGGATGAACTCTAATCCAATATGACTGGTGTCCTTACAAAACAATAAAGTTTGGACCCAGGCACACGGGGGAACACCAAGTGAAGGTGAAGGCAGAGGTCTAAAGGTCAAGGAATACCAAAGATCACAAACCAACAGAAGCTAGAAGACAAACATGGAGCAGATTTTCCCTGAGCCCTCAGAAGGAACCAACCCTGCAGACACTTTAATCTTGAACTTTTAGTCACCAAACTGTAAGCCAATAATTTTCTATTGCTTAAGTCACCCAGTCTGTGGTAGTTTTGTTATAGTAGCCCTAGGAAGCTAATTAAGAAAACTTCCCTGAAGAATTCTCATTTATGTTAAGACCTAAAAATGAAATAGGAATTAGCTGAAGAAAGTGCTGAAAAGAACATTCTAATAGTTTGGTAATAGCATGCTCAAAGATAGAAAAGAAAGGCAATGTGTGTAATGATTAAGCATAGGGTCAACAAGCCAGATCAATTCAGTCCACTATTTGTTCTCATACTGGAACACACCCACACTCATTCATTTATTTACTGGCTATGGCTGCTTTCATGCTGCAATGACAGAGTAGTTGCGATAGAAATGATATTGCACACAAATCCTAAAATATTTACTATCTGGCCCTTTATAGAAAAAGTTTGTCAGTCCCTGTTAAAGCAAAGATTGCCTGGCTTCTATCACTTCTTAGCCATGTAGACATAGGAAAGTTACTTAATCTCTCTGTGCCCCATATTCTTCACTTATGGAATGGGGATTTTAAAAAATCTCTATCGTAAAGTCATGAGAATTAAATATATGTATAGTGCTTAGAAAGTCTCAGGCAACAAGTAAGTCTATATAATTATTTACTATAATTATCACCATTACTAAGTTTGAAGAACCAAAGTTGAGTGTTAGGCAAATATTAAGTCTATAAAATTGTTTATTATCTCATCACCATTAGCAAGTTTGAGAAACCAAAGATGACCAGTGTGAGGAAGACGGAGGTGTGGGACACAGCTGGAGAGCTAAACATAGGCCAAATTATTTTTCTACAGGCTGCATTAAAACATTTTGTAGTTTATTCTAACATGAATGAAAAGCATTCAACAGGAGTTTGTTTGGAGAGTATCAACAGCTGAGTAGGATATTCTCCCAGGGGGGCAAAAATGTAAGGTGACTACAATAATCTCTTCAAATCCATCACAAAATTTTTACTTACAGAAAAATTTTATAATTTGTTGTATATTTTTATGTACAGTATTGAAAGATAAACTTTCAACAACTTTGTGAAACTGGTTCAAGTCATCAAGTAAAATGAAGTGTCTTATTAAGATTACAGATAGGAAACAAAACTTAGTACACAAACTCCCATGCAAATTGTTCTTTAAAGAGGTTTCCAGACTTAGTAGGAGTACCTTAGGTTAAACTTTTAGAAATAAGCATCCTCTGGTCATTAGTCTCACTTCTACTATGTTAGGGTAACCATAGAATTTATCATTTAATCTGGAAGACTTTTGAAAATAAAAGAGGGTACTATTAAAAGTTACCTCAAAATAATAGGCATAGCCCTGCACTATTGAATTTTTTTCCATGAATCCTTGTCAGATAGAAGATGGACAAGACACATCATGAGGCTGAATGGCTAAAAAGTCATCCTGGATGAGACATCCTGAAGAATTGCACAACTCCTGTTTTGCAGTCTGAAGCACATCAGTGCGCTAACAACAGCAACAACAAACCAAAAGTGACTAAAAGAAGATACACATGACTTGGTGACTATTGTTTATAAGGTTCAAACTTGTTTACCTCCATGGCATCTTCTAAATTCTCTTCTGCATCTGCTTTCTCTGTCATCAGTTTGGCTGCCTTAAAATACGTTTTCATAAGTAGATAACCCCTTTTTGCTCCATTCCAGTACGACCGAGGAATTTCCACCAAGCCATACCCCAACAGCAGCACAAGAAGAAACAGACCCCATGTATTTGCAGCAGCTATTCCAATTGTCTGAAGCTGGTTCCTAAGAAAGAGAAACAGCGGATAATATGCATATTTTAATGGAAAGATAAAATGTGACTGCATAAACTGATGCTAACAAAGGAGACCCACTGCTTCTATTGCAGTTAAAATTAGCATCTAGAATAATTCATGGCAATAATATGTATATATTTTCCCAAAGGAAACATTTTTCATTAGGTGCTTTCCTAAGAAGGCTCAAAAGGTTTCAAATTAACTTTGTTGCTTACCTAGCAAATCTCATGAATGCAATAGTGAGACCTAGCACTGCTGATCTATTCCTAAATTTTCAGAGGTAGACCTTCACATATATTACAAGTCATAAGTATAAAACAGATTTCAATTTTATTGAAATATCTAAATCAAAGATAACAGTAAGAACAAATATGCCCTCAAATTATAATCAAAACAAGGAAAAAAAAATCACAAGTTCCAATAAAAAATAAAACCAGTTATTTTATCATATAAAAATTTTGAAGGTCGGGTGCAGTGGCCCACCCCTGTAATCCCAGCATTTTGGGAGGCTGAGGTGGGCGGATCACCTGAGGTCGGGAGTTCAAGACCAGCCTGACCAACATGAAGAAAACCCATCTCTACTAAAAATGCAAAAGTTAGCCAGGCATAGTGGCACATGCCTGTAATCCCAGCTACCTGAAAGGCTGAAACAGGAGAATCGCTTGAACCTGGGAGGAGGAGGTTGCAGTAAGCTGAGATTGCACCATTGCGCTCCAGCCTGGGCAACAAGAGTGAAACTCTGTCTCAGAAAAAAAAAAAAAAAATTGAAATTCTATCAAAAAATCATAAGGGTTATCACTTTTAATATATAGACATTAGACTAACCATTAATCTTTTGTCTAAAATCTGCATTTAAAAATGTCATTCCATAGTTTCTTTCTTAGTAATATGGATTATTCACATATTCTTTTGGAGAAAAATATATAACAAAGTTTCTCAATGAAATGTCTGTTTAAATCTGCACATATGAAGTTAAAAATGAATTTTTAAAAATGCAAACATACACAAAAGCAATGTTAAGAAGGCTACTTTTCTTACCATTCTAAATGTAAATGTGGGTTTACAGCTACATAAATTAAAAATGCTCCAAAAATCAGCAAATAGGTGCCATAGTAGATTGCATTCTCAATTAGTGCAGTTTTGATCTTTCCAGTGATGGAAAACCCTCCTGATCTTGCATACGACTGCATAAAAGGTAAGAGAATCCTAGACGGATAGAAAACCAAAACAATTGATATGTTGTTTAATCTCAAAATACAAGAAATATGTGAATCTCAATTTTAATGTATAGATCTTCTCATTAATAAATGTTTATGAGTAATCATTAATATTTAATAAACTATAATAGATGGTTAAGTATTTTTGTAATATAAAATTTTAGGGAAAGCAAAGGCTCTAAGGCAGGAGAAAGCAAGGCACATTCCTGGAATCAAAGGAGGCCACAATGACCAGCAAGTGTGAATGACTAAAGATGAGTCTAAAATGGGCCTTTAAAGTCTTTTCATTATGAAGAGTTTGGACTGCATTCAAAGAAAACACTTTGAATCAAATTTTAGTTTCCTAAGGCTTCAGCATGGAGAATGGATAAAAGGGGAGCAAAGTTGGAACTAGTTGAGAGGGGGAAGCATGGTGATGGTGGTACGAACAAGGGAGAAGATTGGTTGACAGCATACTGACTTAGAAGTAGTACCTACAGACATCCAAGAGAAGCTGCACACAAAATAGTTTGCTACCAGCTTCAGAGTTCAGGAGAGAGAACTAAAAATATAGATAGCTTCTAGAGTCATCACTGTATCAACAGCACTGAAATAACATCAATAGATACTCATCTGGAAGCATGAGTATGGAGAATGTGAAGGAAAGAACTGAGATAGATCTCTGAAAAATACCAACTTTTTAAGAAAGAGGTAGAGCAACAGAAGGAGGATGGATCAGCAAAAGAGACCAAGACAGAATAGTAGTGGGGCAAGGAAGAAAATCAAAGAGCATGTGGATTAGGAACTAGGAGAGGAAAGTGAAAGTGGAGAGAGAGAACAATAGAATCAAATGCTGCCAAGAGGTGAAGTAAATTAAGAGCCTGTATGTATGAGTGGTGGAGTGAGAATAGAAAGCAGAGCTTACTGTGGGTTGAGGAATAAGTAAACAATGAGCAAGTGGAGATATCAAATATAGAGAATTCATGTAAGAAGTTTGGCTGGGTAGGATAAACTATGGTATATACATATAATGGGGTATTTTACAGAAATGGAAAAGAACAGAATGATGATACATACAGTACAACACAGATGAATTTCCCAAATATGTGAGTAAAGAGAGATGCAAAAAAGTTCACAGTGTATAATTCTATGCTTATAAAGTTCATAAACAGGTAAAAACTAATCTATGGTGATGGAAGTCAGAATCATGGTTACCTTTGGAGAGTGTGGGATGACTACACAGGGAACTGTGAGCAAGGCTTCTGGGGCATTGCTAATGTTCTATATCATCATCTGAGTGCTGGTGTATGAGTGTATTCACTTTGTAAAAAGTCAAACTAAACACAATCCATGCACTTTTCGGTATGAATTTATGCTTCAATTTTAGGAAATTTCTAAAAAAATTTAGTTGTGATCAGATCAACAAGGCAGAGCTGGAAAGGGATCTGAATTGAGAGACTTATTTTTGTTCCTGTATTCTTTTCAAAGGATGAGAGAAATGTGCATGCTTTGTTGAACTTGAAAGCTACAAGTATGTAACAAGAGCTGAAGGGGATGGATCCATATTTTAGGAAGAAGTGATGGCAGCAGCAGCAGCCTGTCTGGAGTGGCCCCCTGCAAAGATACTGGGACAACCTGTCTCAGATAAGAGCTATCTACTCCAGTCTCCTCTCTGCTGTGGGCTGCACAGACAATGGGATAACCGGCCTGCAGGTAGGAGCTACCCACTATGGATCTCCTCTCCACTGAGAGCTGCAATTGTCAGGACGGCCTGCCTGCAGAAAGGAGCTACCCACTTTGGGTCTCCTGAAAGCTGTACTATCATTGAAAAAAGCACCTTTTCACCTTGCTCGCCCTCCAGTTGTCTGCATACTTCATTCTTTCTGGATGCAGGACAAGAGCTCAGGACCTGCTGAATGGTGGAACTCACCCCTGCCACTCGCCATGTTGCAGGAGAGGAGGAGAGAAGAGCTGCGGCCCTTCTGGGAGCCCAGACCTAGGGGCTCCCCAAGCCAGGGCTGTGACACCCTCTTTGGGGCTCTGAGGTTTCTGGCATCTCCAAGCTTCTGGATACTACCACATTCTCTTCATCCCGATGCGGGTGCCCACAGCAGAAGCTGCTTGCAGTGCATCTAACCCAGCTGCAGGCTTGCAGAGCCGGTGCCTGTGCTGGTGCCTGGAGCTGCCCACCCTGTCACAGCAGCCAGTGTGCCTGGCTGTGCTCAATGGCCGGACCCCATGCTTACTTGCTCACACACTCTCCTTGCCACTCCACGCCTGGCTCGCCCTTGGTAGGCGTGGGATCAGAGCCAGTAGCAGGAGCTGAGTGCAATCTGCCAGGGTGAGTAGGCGGAATGAGCCCAGCGAGCCTACCTAAAACTCAGGCAAAGGCACTGCAGGCTACAGAGGTTTCCAGCTGGCAAAACACCCCTAAGAATCCTGTGACAGAAGGACTGGCTCTAACAAGCATCTTCCGTCTTTGGAGGGGAAAGAAAAAAAGTTGAGTAGGTATGTAGATTTGTTGGTGAGAAGCTGCCATCTGATGACTCCTGTTTTCACTGCTGGATGGAAGTAGTCATCTGCTAAAAGTAAAGACGATTATGTTGTTGTTCTTGTCGTTGTTGATAGGGAGTACAAGAAAGCAAGCCACAAAAAGGACAGAAGTTTGAAGTGACTAGAAATATTTCTTGTAAAAATGGACAGAAAGCAAACTAAAAAAACAAAGTAGTAAAGTCTGGCAACGTTGAGGGCCCAGTTGAATTTAATAGACATGAATACACAAGAGCACTGCTCTGCTATGTGATTTTTCTCTTGCAATGTTCAGTACCTCCAGTTTTAGAGTGCAGTTGTTTGCAGATCTAAGAGATGCTTAGTAGGCAGTGGATAAGTATGAGATTGGAGCATAGCAGAAAGATAAAGCTATAATGGGTAGAAAGATTCAGAATCCATTATTGGTCGATGAAACCATGGCTATAATTACAGCTATGCAGGGAGAGTCTGACAAGATGACCAAGATAGGACTCTAGGGAAGATCAACATTTAGAAAATGGGCAACAGAAATGGCATCCATAAAGGAAATTCAGAAGGTTGGGGAAAGCAGACAGAGAGAAAGCCAGAGTAAAATGACCTTAGCAAGGGCAATTTCATATAATAATGGGGCTGGAAGAAGGACTGGACTCAAGGGCAAAAGAGAAGGCAATAACAGGAAGGAAATAGTAATAAGAAAATCTTTGTTTCTGTTTTCTATTTTCTATTTGTGTGTTTCTATTCTTTTTCTTTTTCTTTTTTCCGTAAAATGGGTCAAACTTGAGAGAGCAGAAAGGGAGAAAATAGAGATTTAAGGAAAAAATTAAACATAAATAAATTCCAAAAGTTAAAGATTCACTGAAAAATAATGTTTTATTCCATTAGCCAAAATTTTTAAAATTTTATCCTTTACTGTAACTTACCAAGTTAAAAATTGTGATGTCCAATACACTACCCTCCAGAAAATTGGCATGATTCCATCAGGAATGTAACTCCATGGCTTGAAACATGGATGCTGGCTGTGGAATTAAAAATTTAAAGCCAATTAATCATAAACAATGACTACTTAAGTGAATTATACAATTAATTTGCATGTGGCCAAGTTAATTTACATTCAGATTTTAAATTACTGATTCTAATAATCAATAACCCATAAAATTCCACATAAATTTTAAAATTCAAAGCTGACTGTCAAACTAAAAAAAAAAAAAAAAAACCAAAAAAGTCAACAAAATAGTTTGTTCTGAATATACCATTTAAGTTTTCAACTTTCAGTGTATTTTTAGTCATTGGGTAAAAAGAAAATTTAATGTTCAACTAATAGACTAAAAGTGCAACAATCATTAAAAGCAAATGTATTATAAAATAACATTTCTGATGATTACCTTTAAAATACACACTCCCCTTATTTATAAGGTTAGGTCCCCCCCCAACCTCCCCCCACCCAACACCTTGCAGGGCATAGGGGTTGGGAGGGGAAAACAATAGGTGATTAATTCCTGAAAATTGGAATGCTAATTAAATCATTCACTATACCATAGCTTCTATGGAGATGCATGCTAGCACCCATACATAATTCTGTTTAACTTTCTGAAGACATGATGAGTCTCTGATCATAAATTCATTCATGTAGCCATATTCCTAAGCTATAAGGATATCCCAAGAACTTCCAACAGTCTGTAGTTGCTGCTGATCTTTATCCATTTTTTTAATAGCGCTTCAAATGAAAGTAACACCTGCATTTTAAATTTACCTTTTCTCAAGTTATATTTTTTTAAAAACATGCATAAAGAAACATGCAAATACTACTGAAAGCATTCTTAAAGGCTACAGTCAACATATATATGCTTTTTACTTAAAAGTTTGATATGAATTCAGTAAAATCTTTGGACAATTTGAACTTTATTCATTTTTTATGTAAACCTATAATGTTTTTGAAGGATGTGCAATATGAAAGGAATACCATAAGTACAGAAATACTTGTCCTTTATTATAACCTTGCAAATTAAGCAAAAGTGAAAATGCATGCCACATTTTTAAATCAGAGATAGGCTGAGAGGAAAAATAGGTTTTAGAAATTACATACTCAGTAAAGAACGAGAACTAAAAAATCAGGTCTTCTTCAAGTTTCTCAGTACCATCTACTGAAGGGTCTTGTGGACCAATAAATATTAAAAATTAGATTTAATTAGAATACGATGTAATAAAAAGTCTACTAGCAAAGAACAGAGGTGGCGGGAATCAGTTGAAAATGAGAATACTTACAAAACTATAAAATCTGGATGGTAAAAACTTTCAATTTTTAAATAATTTGTCCCCCATAATTTTCATATTTTTTTTAAAAAGGAAATACCTTGGAACAGGGTTAGCAGTTGCGTACATTCCTGTAATGTTGCTGTTCTCAGGAGGGCTTGAATTTGCAGCAGCATGCTTGCACCGGTTGTATATTGTCTAAAGCAACGAACGTATGGTTTAAAAATGAGAATCAAAAGGTTACCAAGTACTTAAAGGATATCAGAGTTTATAATTCTATCTATTTAAACTTACCTTCCCAGCTATGCTTTTTAATGATCAATGCCCACATAATCTTTTAATTCAAAATATAAGTACAAATTGACATAACTTAGCTGTCTTAAGAAATAACATTATTTCCAACATGCTGTATGATTACAATTATCTTTTAAATTGTGAAAATAAGTTTTACTCCTTACCGTACTAACATCCAGAGGCAGTATGAAGACAATAAGAAAGCAGAGATACCAAGCAAGCAGCGTTCCAATAATTACAAGTCTATGCTGTTTCTTAAAGTCTCCATATCGATGAAGTAGAAATAATGCCAGAAAAAAGACAAAAACAATCTCAAGTCCCAAAGCTGCACCACTCATTATTGAATATTTCACTCTGACTAATCAAAGTTATTCATGTACAGATCTGGACCATATCTGTGAAGTGACAAGAAAATTAAAATGCATTATTAACATAGGAAATGACACTTGGAAATTTCCTAAATATTAATACATTAATAAACTATTTGGAGAAATGTCATGCTTCATATTGGACTATGAATAAGATTGAAAGAGTAATTCCTATCCGCCAGCACTTATATTTTATTTTTTAAAGCACACTTAAAAAATTTCATATGCCTTGTATTTTCAAAATCTTAACAAAAATTATACTAGTTCTTACAATATTACAAATTAAGAAGTTCTTAATTTAGACGTCAACAGTTTTAATATAATGTCATTTGGAGTTTGTTTCTTAATGCTGTAAGTTCTAACAGAATAGCTTATACAAATGAGCTATTGACTAAATCCTAGAAAATTAGATACTTAGTAAAATACATTTTTCTAAGATTATTCATCCTCTATAAGATTTTCTAAAAGAGAGGGAGGAAAAAATGGAAAGACACCATTTAAAAGCAACTTTTCCTTTGAAACAGTATTTTTCTTTTGTGCTAATTTTGCCTAACAACTTTCATAACTCGAAATTATTACTCACTGCTTCACAAAATATATTTATTACTTCCCATTTATCTACATAAATCTTAAACTTACTTTAACAAATTCTCATTTTTAATTTTTTTACTATTTTATATACAGAAAATTTATCAATGATTATTGAATAAAGTCATAAATTTGAAAACATTCTTAATTTTATGATACAGTCATCAGCAAATAGTTTATCTAATATCTCTGTACTCAAAAAAATCAGAGCATAAAGGTTCAAAGTCTCTATTTTAAAATTAAAAAATTTGAGACCAGGCTAAGTGGCTCAGGCCTATAATCCCAGCAATTTGGGAGACTGAGGCGGGTGGATCACCTAAGATCGGAAGATCGAGACCAGCCTGACCAACATAGAGAAATCTCATCTTTACTAAAAAAAAAAAAAAAACAAAATTAGCCAAGCATAGTGGCGCATGCCTGTAATCCCGGCTGCTCTGAAGGCTGAGGCAGGAGAATAGTTTTAACCCGGGAGACGGAGGTTGTAGTGAGCCGAAATCATGTCACTGCACTCCATCCAGCCTGGGCAACAAGAGCAAAGCTCTGTCTAAAAAAAAAATTGATATCTCTCTATACTTAAAAAAATTTACTAATTGAAGGCAATATGAACTTTTCACCTTTGTTAGACTTTTGTTTACCTACGTACTACAATATTACAAGGAATTGATTACTATCCTAACATAGAAAATCAAGACTGTGATACAACACAACAAAATAAAATAAGGGGCCGGGCATAGTGGCTCACACCTGTAATTCCAGCACTTTGTGAGGTCAAGGCAGTTGGATCACCTGAGGTCAGGAGTTCAAGATCAACCAGGCCAATGTGGTGAAACCTCGTCTCTACTAAAAACACAAAAATTAGCCAGGCATGGTAGTGAGCGCCTGTAATCCCAGCTACCTGGGAGGCTGAGGTAGGAGACTCGCTTGAGCCTGGGAAGTGGAGGCTGCAGTGAGCCAAGATCGCACCATTGCACTCAAGCCTGGGCAACAAGAGCAAAACTCCGTCTCAAAAAATAAATAAAAAATAAAAAATAAAATAAGGGAGAATCAATAAAATACTTAAAATCAACAAACATCTCTGAAACTAGTTAGAATAATAAAAAGAAAGTTTGAGTACTTTAAAGGGTTAAATTTAAATTTATATACAAAATACTCCTACATGAAATATCGCAAACAAAAATCACATTTAATAAACAATTTTCTTCACTCTTTATATTGTTAAGCAGTTTCTACTTCAACTATCAATACTTTCATTTTTCTTATATATCTAAAATTGAACCTCTTTCATCACTCTCTACCCTCTTATCCTGCTATATTTTTCTTCAATGCACTTATCCATCTGATATGATACACATTCTTTATATTTATTAATTGTCTCTCTGAACCTCTCCCCTTACACCAGAGACTCTATGAGAGCACAGACTTGACTATTTTATTCCACACTATATTCCAGTCTAATGTAGTGCCTGGCATATAGTAATATCAATAAATATTTGTTGAAATAAAAAATACTGTTACTTTAATACATACACTATTTTTCTATTACTGCTAACTTCAAAGGCAATGTAAAACTCTTGTAATAGTAAACTGATTTTACAAATACTTATTACAACTCAAAAGGCTTAAAACTGTGAACATTACCAAATACTACTCAAATTTTCAAATTTCATATTCTGTGAAACAACTTATACCACAACAACAGTAAGTCAAATCTTATTTTTTAAAAAATAGACAAGGTTTTATCATGTTGCCCATGCTGGTCTTAAACTCCTGAGCTCAAGCGATCCGCCTCAGCTCCCAAGGTGCTGCAATTATAGGCATGTGCCACAGCACCCAGCCAAATCTTATTTTTAAGCCAACCATGGATTAAGCACTTGGCTGAAAGCTCAATGCAGAATGTGCTGATGACAAAACCATCTTCAAGATCTAGGGTTTTTTCCCTTTAAAAAAACCCATTAGATGTGAGTTTAAATATAACATAATTGTTATCTGAAAATCCTTTTATGATGTGAACTAGACCTGAAATTGTCCAGTGTAAGGAATATGACAATCCTAAGGAAAAAAGACTAAATATTAGAGATTACCAAAGGAATGCTAAAGTATGACAGAGCGAAATGATGACATAATACTGTAGTATAAGAAATATTTGTTAAGATTATTTAATAATATCAAAAAGCTAGCCTAACAGTAATTGAAAATTTGACACATATTTTTACATAAGCATAAAAAAGAGTAAGGTAACAATGAAATATATTAAAATATCAATAATCTTTAGGTGGTAAGATATGGGCATAATAAGCAAACGATAGGCTGGGTATGGTGGCTCACACCTGTAATCCCAGCACTTTGGAAGGCTGAGGCAGGCGGATCACCTGAGATCAGGAGTTTGAGACCAGCCTGGACAACATGGTGAAACCCCATCTCTACTAAAAATAAAAAATTAGCCAGGTGTGATGGAACACACCTGTAGTCCCAGCTACTCGAGAGGCTAGGCTGGAGAATCACTTGAACCTGGGAGGCAGAGGTTGCAGCGAGCCAAGATCACACCACTGCACTCCAGCCTGGGCAACAGAATGAGACTCTATTTCAAAAAAAAGCAAACAACAAAATCAGTTATAAACCTGACACTAGCTATTAATTTTTTTACTATGGCACTCAATTTTTTAGTCTGATTCATAGTCAGCACTTTAAAGGGCTGTGGATGAATAAATAAAATTATGGATCCTTTATTCTAGTAATAAATGATTTGGTTACATCCCTTTCCACACTTAGCATGTTGGTCTCCTACCACAGATATAACAAATTGCTACAAACTTAGTGACTTTAAACAACACCTATTTATTATTAATATCTTATAGTTTCTGTATGTCAGAAATTCAAACACAACATAATTCAACTTAGTTCTCTGCTTAGGGTAACACAAGTTTAAAATCAAGGTCAGCAGGTTTGCATTTTTCTCTGAAGAAGAATCCATTTTGAAGCTCATTCAGGCTATTGGCAGGGTCTCACACTGTATCCCAGGCTGGAGTGCAGTGGAATGATCATGGCTCAGTATAAGCTTGAGTTCCCGGACTCAACTGATCCTCCCACTTCAGCTTCCAGAGTAGCTAGGATTATAGGTGTACATCACCATGCCTGGCTAATTTAATTTTTTTTTTTTCGTAGAGGCAGGGCCTTGCTATGTTGTCCACGCTGGACTCAAATGCCTGGCCTCAAGTGATCCTCTCACCTTGGCCTCCCAAAGCACTGAGATTAAAGGCATGACCCGCCTAGCCAAGACAAAACTCAGTTCTTTACGGTTATAGGACTGAGATTCCCTGTTCCCCTGCAAGCTGACAGTTGGCATTTGACCTTAGCTCTAGAGGCCTCTCCCCAGTCTTTTCATGTGGCTCTGTATATCTTTTTCTAATTGTATACATTTAAAGTACACAACAGTAATGTTTTAATATACTGTACATATACAGTGAAATACAAACCATAGTCAAACAAATTAACATAACTATGTCCTCACATACTTTTCTCTCTGTGTATGTGTGTGTGGTCCTGTATATTTTAAAAGAGCAATGGCTTGTCAACTTCTCCTCATGCCTGAAATCTCTATTTTTTAAGGCTCATCTGATTACACTGGGCCTACCTGAATAATCTAGTCATTTTTACTGGTTCCAGAGATTAGGGGATAGACATTCTTAGGGTAAACATTATTCTGTTTATCATACCATCTATTTCTGTTGAGGCTGAAATATATTGCCTTCTTATGACATACAGTTAGGACCAGTGATCCCATGAAATTGGAGATAAAAATTGGTTTTTCTAACTTGAGATGAGAAAATAATAGTTTCAAAGTCCATATCTTTTAAATAATAGTTTTAAAGTCCATATCTTTAACCTTGTACCAACATTCAAGTGATGAGTTGTAAGGTTTAGGAAAGAAGGAGAAGAAAGGAGATGATATGATGATGATGATGATGATGATGATACTAAAATGAGGAGGCAAATAAAAATTCAGTGCCATGTGATTATGCCCCTCAGTAGCAAAACTTGATTATACTCAAAATCAAAATGTCAATTCATTAAAACTACCAGATTTTAGTGCCTGATGCAAAATATCAGTTCTGAAAGTCTTAAATACTTAAAATCCAATTCAATCTTTTTCCAATCATCAAAATATTATTTAAGATTACTTTCAAATGCCTTTATAATGGTTTCATAATTAGCATGTTACTGTTACTGACTTGAAGTACTGTTTCCTTAGTACTTTATGGCTGATAATAGTTTTTCAGGTTAAACACCCTTTGATGGAATTTTAGAGGTTAAGATAATTTTGAAGAATTCCAAATGTTTTGAGAGACAGAGAGAGAATGGGTAGCAATTGATCAGAATACAAACAAAACACTGACAAAAATTTTGTCAAAACCAAATATTCTGAAACCAAATGAAAAATTTATGACTGGAACCTAATGATTCATCAGACTCAAATACTGTTAACTTAAATATCTGAGTCTGATGATCATTAGGTACCAATCAGAAATTTTACCTAACTTAACGTATCTGTATTTTTACTCAGATATACGAAATAAAAACTAAGAGACAACTCAAAATCATAATGAAAAATCAAAAGAACCAGAACCAGAAGTGAATAAGTCAACAATTTTCCACCAAAAATCAAAATTTAAATCTTCCAAACATAATTGTTATTCTCAAAGATTTCAGGTACAGAGTTCAGTTTAAGACATAGACTACTGCAAGGAGACTATTACTCCCATTCTGAAAATGAAAAAAAAAAAGTCAAAATAATTTTTTAAAGGTATCTAAGAGCTGAGTTGGTGAATCAAGCAGGTAACCTGAATTCGAAAATGTGACAAGCCCCTGAGGTAAAGCATACATACAAACTGCTTTACCTTTTGCAAGGCATAAAGAGAAGAGGTAGCAATCATGTAAGCATAGAAGAAAAAAGAACTGAAATTTTACTGAATTCTTAAAGATTTCATATATAGAAATTGCAAGACATCTTGATAGAGAATAATCTGTAAAGTGTTTCCTATAATAAATAATTTTAAAAAAAGAATATCTAACATTTAGTATGTGTTTACTAAATTTTAAGAATTGTATTAATACTAGTACCGACCATGCTTTATTAAATTAGACGTTACAACCTAGTAAGAAAGGACTGTTTGTTTCCTTGCTTAACAGAAAAAAACAGTGCAGAGAGGGTGAGTAATTTGTCCAAGTTAACAGAGTTGGTGAATGGTAAAGCTAGGATTCAAAGAGAGGCATCTTCACTATAGAACCTGGATCATAATTACACGTCTCTTCTCCAATCTAGACGTACTTTCTTAATGCAATTTAAATTCCTTAATGATCTATTTTGTTCAGTCTTCACAGAGAACAAATTAGAAACGTTCTCCTGTGATTCTTTTAGATATAGCAAGACAGAATGCTAAGTCATGTTTAATACAGAATTTAACACAAACTTTTTACCTTAAGATTATACTACCATTACTTGATTTAAGGGTAATATATGACTCTACTCTACATGGGAAAAGTGGAAAATACAGAGCAAATTAGAACCCTTTTGTTCTTGCCTCAATCTGCTTATCATAGAGCATTAAATTGCAATGAATTAAAGATCTACTTTAAAATTAATCAAGGAAAAAAGGTCCTCTTGAAATTTTATTGGCAGATAGAAGCTTCTTGATACATAATGTTTCTCAGCCATTTGCTCCCCTAAGCTAAATAACAAAAGTAAAAAACTAAAGAAATTTTAGCATTTACTTCATGTTATGATGGAACTAAGAAAAAATATACAGCCCCTCTGTTTAAATAGAATGTCTTCTGTCATATTTCATCTCCAATAATGGCATACCTACTAAATATATATTTACAACTTGTAGTCAGTTATGACTGCCAGTCCTTTTTGGCCCCTCCTGTTCCCTGATATTGATCATCTTTTAATTACGCTGTGGTTTTCACTGCTTAACTGACATTGCTTTTGCCTCTCTCAGGCATCTCATGTTGTATGATAAACAGTCACTGTAGATTTGCCGATTTACAGTCACTTTGTATTCTATCTGAAGCTTCCTAAAGTGTACTAGTAATTACTTATCCTAATTTCATTTGCATTATTTTAAAAATGGCTTTTGTCTTGGATACTAATAGAGTAATTCCAATTCTAGAAAAATGGTATATCTCTCTTATTAAAATGGAACATGGAGTGCACTGAGTAAAATGAAACCAATGAAATTAATCAGAAAAAATCAGATGCATCAATAGCAATTACAATGCAGTTCTTTGTCACCAGAGAGCAACATCTGTGTACCTACTAATCTCGTCTTCAATGGACGCAATTCCTTATGTTAAAAAGAATCGATTATACCAATTTAAACTTGTATTTATTATACTAAGATAATAGCCATGATTAAAAGGAATGTCAAAAAAGTATTCCCATATTAGGAAGGTAAAGTATTTCTGTTACTGGGGCAAACTATTAGACTAATTTTCAAAGTTGACAGGCTTTCCCTGAAGTCCTACAGAGAAACTTGTGTTCACTAATTGAGATGTTGCAAGTATTCTAGTTCTCAGGTAACTTCCTAGTAAAACCAAGACTGAACAAAAAAAATATTTCTCATCTTTAAATTTAGAATCATCTCATCGATTAGACCTTCCTATTTATGAGATCTATATCTAAAGTGGGCTCTTGCAATTATTTTACATCTCAAAACTGTTTAGTCTCATTATTTTGGCATATTATGGCATCTTACATATTTTTGTTTAGTCTTTCTCCTCCATTAGCTTACAGGTTCTGTTTTGTTCCCTTTCCTGAAGGAAATTATAATTTTTGTGTCAATATTTTCTCCTATGATTTGCAATCTTAAGGGAAAGGGTGTAGAGTCAAACTAAGGCAACTGCTTTCTCCTTAGCCAAAGTAACATAAAGGTCACTTTGTGTGAAAAATCAGGATATTGCATTTTTAAATGTTTTCCATACAACATTAGTTTAATGAACTGCTCAGCCTAGTATTCTGCACCTAATTCCAATCAAAATCAAGTTGTGAACAGATTCGTTATTTACACCAATCTCACCTTTCAAAAACAAGCTAAAGGTTCATGAATTCCTTCCTCCCTCAAGAGGCAGTTGCTTTTCAAGCTAAGGACCAAGATTGAAATAAGCACATACCTGGGCAAGGGAGGTTTAATTTCACTACAGAGCGAATCATTTTTTCAAGGAAACCAGAGGGTGTGTCATACAGCATCACTGAATATTCTAATATGCGATGAAGATGTTATGCTTCCTTAGGAACTTTATAAATCTTCATTTTTATGAGGTTTAGAATTCATCCCCCTTCCCTCTTCCACTGTTTTCTCGAGGTCACAGTTGCAGTATGGTTTGCCCGATGGATTTCGCATGGTCATTGTACCTAGAATATGCCACCCTCCCTACTTTAACCACCCCCAAAATCTTCTCAGCAGATAGGCTGAAAACAGCTCGCTTTTAGGCGGCGACGCAAACACACGTAGCCCGTCGAACGTCAGCAAGCAACCAAAAGTCTTTGCTGGAGGTCCCCTGCGTTGCATGGGTAAAGCCTGTTGCAAAATACAGTCTTTTCATTTATTCCCATGCTACTATTTACGAGACCTGTCAAGTCTGCAAGGGCATGCGCAGCCTTCCCACCACAAAGGACCCGCTGGGGTCTCCGGCTCCCCTAAAATTAAACCACTATTTTTCGTTCTAACTGCGCTTTTAGCTATTGTCCATATTTTACAGATAAAGGAAGGATCCTGTCCACAGACCCAATTCTAAGGGCCGCCTTCTCCCCGAAGGAGGAAGCAGCTTCCTGGCAAAGGGACGAACAGGTGTGACGCCCGCGGTTCGCAGCCTCTCACCTGGCGGGCGGGCTGGGCTACAGCCACCACTCAGCGGCCAGAGACGTGGGCCCCGCGGCGGCGGCGGCGGCCACTCGGGGTCTCCCAGGTCCCCTCTCTTGCCGCCTGCGCTCGGCCCGGGTCCCCAGACACCAAAGCGTCTCACGCGTTCCCACTCAGGCTCACCGTCCGATCTCGCCAGACAGCGTCTGGATGGGACCAGGAAACGGCGGCCGCCACAGCTGTCCAGGTTCTGGGATGCACACTCAGAGACGACAGCGCTGGCGATCACCAGAAGGCCTGCAGGCTCCCGGGAAAGGAATATCCGTCTACAGTCAAGTGGCTGACATTTCCCAGTCAGCCTTAGCGCCGCCCGCTTCCGCCTCCCCGCCTACCCCGTGGACCAGCCAGTCCCGCTCCCGCGGGGGGTTGTGGGTATCTCGAAGGCGGGCAAAACTGCCAGGGGAGGAAGTAAGGGCCAGCCAGTCGGACTACGAAACAGGACGGAAACTACAATTCCCAGCAGGCCATGGGGCCGCAGTGCCCCGCGAAGCAGAGCGGGCTTGTAGAGTCTTGCGCGCGCTGCTGGGATGGAACGTTGCTAGACTTAGCGGGGCTAGCTGCTGGGGGCCCGAGCAGCACGCTCGGAGCCGCCGCGCGCCAAAGCGGGAATCCGGGAGGCGGGCAGCTTTGCAATTAATGCACGTATTTTAAACTCCCGAACCTGAGGACGCTATGCACAGGTAAACAGATTGCAAAAAGTGGAAGAGCATGAATGGACCCTTTTAATAATTCTTTTAGGCCGCGAATATCGCTACTGGCTAATATTGTTGGTAACGCTGTTAAGTGAATGGTTGCTTAGCCCCTTCTTGGGAAAGTGTGAATGGCTGGATGCTTTAATGCGGGGATCAGCGTGCGGTTTTATTTGTCTTCCCTAATTGGGCTTTTCTGCCACCGTTTTCAATCAGTGTATGATTGCCCTCTCTCTCTCTCTCTCTCCTTGTCTGTTCCCTCCACTGGGAGAAATTCTTGAGGCCTTCTGCACTATCGTTAAGTCAAAAAGCCTTTTCGATTTGTTCTTTAAATTTCTTTTTTTTTTTTTCTTGAAAACTCGCCGCGAGCATGTAAAGAGGGGGATTCTGTTAGCCACTGTGAAGGTTCTCTACAATGCATAAATTCCAGGTTCTTTAATGCCTCCCTTGGAATTATTTATGGGTGTTTTCGAAAGGAACCGGGGGTATTGTGCACTTCTGCAGGAAGCACCTCCAGGAGATTCCAGACCTGAGTAGCAACGTTGCCACTAGCTTCACGTGGGGATGGGATTCCAGCAAGACTTCTGAACTGCTCTCAGGCATGGGGGTCTCCGCCCTGGAGAAAGAGGAGCCCGACAGTGAGAACATCCCCCAGGAACTACTCTCAAACCTGGGCCTCCCGCAGAGCCCCCCAAGGAAACGGCTGAAGAGTAAAGGGAGTGACAAAGACTTTGTGATTATCCGCAGACCTAAGCTAAATCGAGAGAACTTTCCAGGTAAGGCTATGAGGGTAAAAAATGTCAGTTACGCAAAGGGTGGATTTAGCTATGCTGTTGGGAAACCTTTGTTCAGGGATCTTTACCATGGGTTCCTTTTAAGATTGCCTAATTCTGAAGTTATTTTTTCAACAAAATGGGGGAAGTCGTCAAGTATGCAGGAGTCTTGGGGGGTATATATGTTTTGGTGCACAATCACCTTGAAAATTTTAACCCATGAGAAGACACTCCTGCCTTTTTCCTTAGAAGGGAATCTGCCTGCCCGAAGGCCAGCTCGGTACCACCGATGAATAGAAACAAACAGTGGTCTTCTTGTAGGATTCCTTTTGCCTTGTACCCCTGAGTGAGCTTTTTGTCTTAATCACTTTAGGTATTTATCAGTGGACTGCTGAAGTGAATGTTTACCTAAGTGGAGATTTATCTCCTCAGGTTCAGTCCCACTCTCATATTGGCTTCTCCTGTGTATTCTGTCTCCATTACTGCTGATACTATCTTGTTTAATCACCCAACCCAAAAACCTGGAGTCAGTAAGGTTCCCACCTTCCCACGACATCCAGTCGTTCATCACATTTTATCCTCTTCTCTGGTAACTATTTCTTAAGTTCTCATCATCTCTTGCCTGAACTATTGGAGTAGATTTATAGTTCCAACCTTCTTCTCCCCAGATCTATCCCACGGAACTAGAATGGATTGACTGAAATGTAGAACTCACTATAACTTCCCTCCTTAATAGCTCCCCATCCCGTAGTTTCTCAAGCAGGTGAACGAGTGCCTCCCAGAGTGAACCAAAACCCTGGAATATGCAAAAGCCATAGGGTAAACATAGGGCATTGACCTGGGGTTATCAGTTTTTCTTACCAGTAAGACATTTAAAACAGTAATACAGCAAATATTTGCTGAGCACATACCATGTGCTAGGCAGTGTTCCAGGTGCTGGAGATAGAGGAGTGAATACAACATAAACATTTCTGCTCTCAGGAAGCATCCATTCTAGTGAGAGAATACAATAAACACAATAAATATGTTGAGGTAGTATATTAGAAGGTGCTAAGTGCTATGGCTAAAAACACAAATAGAACAAGCCAAGAGGGAATGCAGGTCCTTGGGTGGGAAGATAGAGTACACTTTTAAACCAGGTATTGAGGGAAAGCCTCAATTGAACAGTGACCTTTAAGCAAAGACATGAAGGAGGACAGGAAGTGTGACATGCAAATATTTTTGGAGAAAAGAGCTCCATGCAGAAGGAACAGCCATTGCAAAGACCCTGGTGCATAAACGTGACATGTTTGTTCCAGGAACAGGGAGGCCATATTCTAAGAGTGAAATGAGCAAAGGGGAGAATCAGGAGATCAGGCTGGAAGTAATGTTGGGCAGAGTTGTGATGGGACCCGATTTAACCTTTTGAAAAGGACACACTGATGTGTTGAGACTCAATTGCAGGTGTGCCAAGGGTAGAAACTTGGAGCTTTTTAAAATTTTATATTTTCAAGACGGAGTCTTGCTCTGTCGCCCAAGCTGGCGTGCAGTGGCATGATTTCGGCTTTTGGCTCACTGTCTTCACCTCCTGGATTCAAGTGATTCTCCTGCCTCAGCTCCCCATGTAACTAAGACTACAGGCATGCACCACCACACCCAGCTAATTTTTATTTTTTAATGGAGATGGGGCCTCACCATCTTGCCCAGGCTGGTCTCAAACTCCTGGACTCAGGCGATCCTTCAGCCTTGGCCTCCCAAAATGCTAGGATTACAGGCATGAGCCACCACACCTGGCCAAAGCTTGGAGTCTTGTTGGGGGTGAAGGTGGTCAGGTTCCAGATATATTCTGATGTTAAAGTCAGCAATTTAGGGGCTATTGAAATGATCTGTGGAAGACGTGATCAGAGTCTAAATTGAAATCAGCTGGGGGATGATGGCGACGCAGAAACAGATTAAAGATTTAAAGATGAAGTCTGGCAGACCCAAGATAGTTAAGTATGTTCATAAATCCTCCCATCTGGTTTCCTTTGCAGAAGGGTTGATAGATTGGTTGTTTTAGTTGGTTGGTTGCTCTCTCACTTCGGCAGCACATATACTAAAATTGGAAATACAGAGAAGATTAGCATGGCCCCTGCGCAAAGATGACATGCAGATTTGTGAAGTGTTCCTCTACTTTCTTAATTAAAAAAAAAATACATTTGTTTTCAGCCTTTTCTTTAGGAAAGAGAACTTTGTCCAATTTATGGTCTGGGAATATATATCAGGAACTGGATTAATTAGAGAGGCAGTAGAGGGTTGTGGTGAAGTCAGATCTGAGTTTGAATCCTTATTCTGCTCTTTACCAGCCTTGGAACGTTGCTTTCTGTGCCTTAGTTCCTTCATCTGTGAAATGGAGTGCTGTAATAATACCCACTTCACAGGTGATTGTGAAGATTAAATGAGAGTGATGTAAAGCTCTTAGCATGCCACTGACCTGTAACACTCAATAAATAAACCAACAAAATTCCTGACACCAATTTTGGAGGCCAATGGACTTTTATTTTTTGTTTTTAATACTGTTAGTCTGACCCTGTTAGTGTAGAATTTTTTTCCTTCAAAATTTAATGCTCACCACTATTTTTCATGTCTGGAATGTAGCCCTAGCAATTTTGTGCTTGACCAACCAAATATGGTGAACGATACTTCCTGCTTAGATGAACAGATTTTTATTAACTTGTCCAGTGCCGATAGCTTTTGACAGAGTGTGATTGCCATATGCCCTTCCACAAGTGAAAAAGACTTTTTTTTTAAGCAAGGCACTGTGGGAACAAGACAGAAGTTTCTGGAGTCTTTGCTGTCTCCCAGGGATTTGCAAGTCGAGTAGAAAATACGATAAAAAATAAGAGCAGTTCACACACAGTGATACATGGAGACTAACAGATTAGTAGCAGATGAGTAGCTTAGGCAATGAGTGCTGTAGGGGGCCAGAGAGAGGAAGCCTTCTGTGCACAAGTAGCCCAAAGCCTCCCAGAGGCAGTGGCCTCCTGCAGTGATTCCCATTCAGGTGGATGTGGAAGATCTTCCTCCTTCCACTCAACAAAAATGGAGGTTCTGCGGAAAGAGAAGGATCTGAAAATGGTGTCATCAGTGTCTTGATTGTTGTTAAAGTGGACTTGAAAAGTATATATCTAAAGTGAGAGAGAAAGAATAGTGACTTTTATCTTTATTGCCTAAGGAGAGGCACGGAGGGAAACCAATGTACGTGGACTTACAGCAGAGGTTGCTTAATTGGTATGGAGGGGGAAGGGTGAACCCAATGTTGCAGGATGAGGGACAGCTGGTATAGAGGATTCCCAGTGGGCCTTTGGAAGCCTGGGCCTCCAGTGGAGCCGGATTGTCATTCCAAGGAGTTTTGTCTGCAGTTGTCAGGACAGGTGGCTATTAGCTTTGCCAGGATTAGGGTAGAGCAGGCCACACCTGCTGTACATAGATATCTGATGACTGGTCTGGGTTACAAGTTTTTGTTCTTTGCTAAGCAGTGTCTCCCTCAGGCCCCAGTCCAGCCTTACATCTGGCAACTAAATCCTCTTCATCTGTTTATCTTGGAAGATGAAAGCTCTGTGGCCAACCTGTAGCACAACAGGTCCAATTGGCCCTTGGAGTGAGTGTATGGAAAGACTTGGGGACGAAATGGTCCAGCAATGAGGTCAGTAACAGGCGGAAAGAGGACAATAGCATTTTATTTATGGTCATGAAATGCTTGTCCCCCACACTTTAAACAGGTGATAGCATGAAAATGGAGTTGAACTAATTTGTTGATCAGCTCTTCTATGACTGTTAAATGCTTGAAATTTCAGATCCTACAGTGGCTTTCAGACTGGAGATACTAAAATTTAGAGCATATCAGAATCCCCACGGGAACTTGTTCAAAGTGCAAAATTCCTGAGATTCTGACCCAGGAAGTAAGTCCTGGCCTGAGCCTGGGAATCTGTGTCTTAATACCCTTAGGCAAGCATTTTTCTCCAACTTTTTTTTAAACCGTAAGAAACATATTTTACATTGCAATCCTAGGTATGTGTCTGAAACAGCAGTTTTGCAAAACTATATTTCCCCTTACTAAGATATTTTCTATTCTGTTCTAGTTCCTTCCTTAAAAATATATATATATATATGGTAGTCAAACTCACTAAATTGATTTCATGACCTATGTGAGTCTCAGCCTACAGTTACTAAAATCAGCACTGGAAGAGCCTTTACGGGATCTTTCCCAGTCATTTGTTCCACAGTTTCCTTTCATTCATTCATTAAGCAAATACTTCTTGAGCACCATTCTAGGGATTGGGACTACAACACTGAACCCAACAGGCAAGAAACTCTGCCCTCCTAGTGCTTACATACTGTTCCATATTTCTCCAAACCCCAGCTTCTGTTGTTTCTTCATTACACCCCCTACACCTCAGGGTTGAGCAAGTCTTTCATAGAAATAAGGGGTTGTGGGACTGAAGGGTATGTGGGGGAATCCTTGTTAAGTTTGGCTGTGTTTTGCTTTTTCCAGTTTTGCCCACCTAGCTAAAAAACCAAAAACACACAAAACTAGCATGGTCTCAAGTTTGTTTTTTATGGTTTGTGAAAAGAGGAAGGAGAACTCATCTGGGATGGCACAATCTGTTTGTAGTTCCCCAAAAAGAAAGCATGGGGTATTGCTACTTAAAACAAGCCACAAAAGCAATCATGAGGTGAGCACCCCCTAACTCCCTGAAAAAAATGTACACACACACAAACAAGTGTGAATACCAGGTCCTCAGTGCACATTTCTACTGCAAGTATAATTTGATTATCTATGCTTAAAGAGAAGAGCAATTTTTGAAGTCAAAAGTTTGATTATGATTAGGATTACTTTGGATTTTCTTGAATCTGAGTGGAGTGTTCTGAAAAATAAATATATCAAGTAAGATGAATTACCTACACTGCAAAGATGAAATGCATAGAAAACGCTCCAACAAGGCCCTCTTCCCAGAGAATATCAGGAAGCATGAGAGGTGATAAAGTTACAGAAGTGGGAAACCGGGTTTCCAACTGAGAAATAATTGGAAACAGTGGTAGGTGAGGGTGATTGTAGCAGGTTTGCTGGTTTGGCCCAGTTTTCACCCTTTCCTGGCCTTGAAGTACATCTAACTGCTATCCATGTCATTGAAGACTGGAGACCTTGGGCTCAGTAATTATATCTTTTAATGTGGGGCTGGAATGCAGCTGCAGCCTTGCTGGATTTAGCAGAGGCAAGTGGAGAAAAGACCCCTGGATTTTTCCTTCCGCTCTCCGAAAACAGATCAGGCAGCAGTGTCATCAAGAATTCAGGAAACAGATGGCTAATGTTTTGAGAATTAAATATGGCAAGGAAAATTAGATTAAGCATATCACAGCCTGGATGCCTGTTACTAGAGTAGCTGTTAAAGACAAACTTCTGCCCCGTTTGCTAGGACAGCAGCCCATATCAGGCCCTGGCACCCCCACCCAGGGCCCCTAGGATTAGTGTCATCCTGTGGTCAGTGGAGTAGAGCACTGGGTACTTGGCTGCTAGCTGAGGCTCTGCGTTTTCTAGGCCCTTGCTGCTTCCATTTGGTGGTGAACCCGTTGATATCTTTCAGCATCTTTGTTTTATTTCCTCTCTCCTCTTCCACTCACTCTCTAGCCCTGATTGATTTCTTTTGCCATAGCAAGTTGGGTTTAATTCTCACCTTTTCAAAATTTGTACTCACAACAGAGGAGAGCACAGAATATTAGAACCTGCTAGGATGGAAAGGGCATGATTTGAAGTCAGATCTGAGTTTGAATTCCCTCTCTGTGACTTACTGATTGTGTGACCTTGTCTCTTTTGTCATAGTTTCATGTTCTCTTGAAGCCCAGCCCCCATCTCCCAGAGACTACTGGTATACTGATAGAGGACATTCCCTTCTGCTCTGGGTTTTTGTCTTCAGCCCCATCCCCTCCATATGCCAACAGTGCTGTGCACGTAGTTGTCAATTGGTTAACAGGGGTTGACCAGTCGCACTAATAGAGAATTAGCACATTCACCATTTGCATTAAAGGGGACAATAAATACATTTAGCAAATATTTATAGATTCCTGTTAATGTGCCAGGCATTGTATTAGATAAGGGATGTGTAAATCTGGGCATGGGGTCTGTGGTGGTATCCTGGGTGGGAATGCTTCTTTGAGCAGATGCTATTTAAGCTGAAATCTGGAGGAGTTGGGAATGCAAAGATGGAAGTTGCAACACAAAGTCCTCCAAACTCTGGAGTCCCACGTGCAGCTCTTCATTGGTTAGGTCTGCTGACCTCTGCATTCATTATTATGCCAAATTTTCCTCTAGCATTTAATTACCCAGCTACTATTGCTCTTTTATTTGTTCCTGATTTCTCTTGTCTTCCTAATAAAATAGAAAGCACCAAGTTTTTAAATTAATTTCTCCTGTACTTCATAGCAAGCTTTTCTAATTTCCTTTCCCCAGCTCCCCAGCCAGAATTTCTGTTGGTGCCCTATCTATAACTACTTGAGGCCCACCATTCCCATACATGCCAAAGCTCTTGCCTACACATAGATGAGATTCCATGCCTTAGAGCTTTCTCTGGGCAGGAATGCTGGGGAGTACCCAAATAGCGAGTGACAGCACTTGAACCCCCAATCAGTGACTGACAGAAGCTTTGAACCCCAATTGCCTACAGTGATAACCTGCTTATTAGCCTACTCCAGGTTGGCTTTCCTCCCTTCCACCTTCTATCCTCTCCTCTTTCTAGTGCTTCCTGGCATCATTTCCAAATAAACTGCTTGAAGTCAGATCTTCAGAATCTGCTTCTGGGAGACCCAATCTTAAATAGAGGGCAGATATGGGGTTTGGTAAGTCATACCATGCAGACCTTGTCCAAACCCTATTCAGACCTTGAATGTCTGCTCATGAGTGAAAACTCAGAGCAGCATAGGAAAGAACATTGCATGAAGAAAATATGCAGACTTAAGTGAGAAAGGAGAGGAACATAGAAAAGAAAGTTTTACTCCCTACTGCATTATTTAATCTTTTCTTGTACCTCATTTACTCTTCACTGAACAATTTTGTAAGATAAATCTGTCAATTTCCTTTCCTACAGGTAAAGAAACTGAGACCAGAAAGATTAAGTGACGTGCCCAAGTCACAGGCTTGGG